AAATAGACATTATTATCGATACAGAGACCGAATCTACAGTTTTTAGAGTTTTTATTTGTCTGCTGTCTGTCTGGGAACGCGTCAAGAGAAAACCACTCCACAGATTTTGATGTGGTATGATGATAGCTGGTTATTTAGGTCAACATATAGGATACTTTTTACTGCGGGAAAATATCTCAACTCTATACTAAATTTAAAACCCAACTAGGGACGGACCCGAGCGGAGCGAGGGTGAGTATTAAATAAATTTAACTTACCTACCCTCTCTTCACTCGGATGATACCATGGATGTCTTGTAATTTATAATATCACTAGCATTGCCCGCTGCTCCGCGCGCGTGCAGATGACCAAAAACCAAATTCTTAGGTTTTATATATGTACTAGTATACTCTTACAATGTAGTTTTTGTAGTTTTTCTTACAAATGAGATATTTTCCCGCGGTAAAAATTATCCTATAGGTCCGGATAACCAGCTATCACCATACCAAATTTCATCAAAATCTCTCCAGTGGGTTTTCCGTGATGCGGTAACAGACAGACAGACCGACAGACAAACAGACAGACAGACGAAAATTCTAAAAACTATAAATTCGGCCTTTGTATCGATAATAATATTATTTCAATAAGATTTTCCAAAAAATATTTAATGTACAGATTCGGCTCAGTTATAATTTTATTATATGTATAGATATACAAGTAGCGCCACCTTATGGCAAATTTTATCACTAACAGTACACTATGTGGTCCGTGTCGATCTTTGTATTTTTTTATCTAATCCGTCCAGCTATTACAGTGTGAAGGAGTAACAAACATATTACAGACACACAAACTTTCACATTTTTAATAGATGAGATTAATAGATGTGTAATATAATTAATATAATAGGTTGCGAATGGCGATCATTAGATTTTCCTCGTGGCTATTTACTGAATTGATTACAGTCATTAGCAATCGTACTTAATTAACAGTAACAGCTCTAATTGCTTTATCATCTGTAAGATACTTTAACTTCTTTACTACATATTATAAAATCAAAGTCCACCATCGCGTCTGTCTGTCTGTCTGAACGCGATAAACTCAAAAACTACCGAAGAAATTTTCGCACGGTTTTCACCAAACATTAAGGTTTTGTGTAAATTAGCTGATATATGATTTCGGAATAAAAAATAATACCGATTGGAAGCTTTAGTGATGTACGCTGCGTAAACTATTGCAGGCAGAAGAACTAATAAATAGAAAACATAAAAACTACTACAAAAAAGTCCGTGATAGCATATATACCTGTTTTTAAGGTGGATTTGCACTAACCATTTTTATGGTTCTCAAATTGGGTCTAAATTTCAAAGTAATGCTTTATTTGCGAAGGTGTTTATAGTGACATGGTGTTCATCCATATGTAAGACAACGTAAAACACTGCATTTAGACAAATATCTTAGAAGATAACAAAGAATTAAATAAAACTCGCGAAACGTAATAATATCTTAATGACGTTTTTTTAATTATATTCTATGGAAGGTTACATTTGCATTGGTTTCATTTCACGAATCAATCACTTTAAAGTTAAATACAGCATTTTTGTTTCGTGTTTACTTTAGGTACATACTTATTGTAATTTCTAAAATATTTAGGATTCAAACTCGATAATCGAACACCTCAAAATAATGAAAATAGTTAATTTTTATCGCAACTTCTTTGAAAAACATGGTTCTGATACTAAATAATGACTTTATCATTCAAATTTAACGCGAATTTGACAGTTTAGCAAATTATTTATTTATTTTGGCGATATCATTATTATATCATTAATTGTACTTTTTATAAGTATAATTTAATAGGTTTGGCAATTCTAAAATGAATGGCTCGTATAATGGTCTTATTTACATAGAAATTGTTAACTAATCTATATATTTCTATAAAGATTCTAACATTTGATTTTTTTTGGAATGGTCTAAGTAACTCAGATTATTAATTGAAACCTTTTATTTTTCGCTTCTCTTTTTATACCTACTCTTTGACAAATTAAAAAAAAAAAGAAATCAGTCAAGATCTATGTCATTGTAACATCAAGCTATTTTAGATATTTTTAGAGGTTTCTTTTCACAAGTTTATATAAAATGTCTTATTGGTGAGTAATTATTTATTTTAACTTATCTACAATTGTAAAAAATAAGGGTGTCCTTAGTTAGACATATTCCCCCCACTTCAAAGTGGATTTAAATATTTGTCTCGAACAGGATTCGAAACTACGACCGTAACATTACCAGACCAAGCTAAGCAAGCAGTGCCAGACCAGCTGAAGAGTTTATTTCTCTTCTCTAATTTAAAAAGTAAAGAAAGTTGTTATAACATTGATATTTACGTAGGTGTTGTTACTATAATAAAATCATTAGCGGCTGGCACAAGTTTAGTATTATATGGGACATGACTTCTGGAGGATTGGGTTATAATTTATATTGTTGAAATGAGGTGAAAGGAAGTCTACATCTATATAAATAAAAATGAATGTTGGTAAGCGCATACCTCAAGAATGGCTGAACCAATTCGGCTAAATTTCTTTTTCGTATGTTCCTTAAGGTCCACGGAAGGTTTTAATAAAGAAAAAATGACAAAATAACAAAAAAAATAATTATATAGCTAACGCTGGCTAATAACTATTTATATCCAATGAAAACGAACCAACGAAAACGAAAAACCTAGCGACGAACCCGAGCGAAGCGAGGGTAAGCCGCTAGTATATAATAACTATTTTAAGGAATTAAAGAAGAGTTAAATTTCTAACCTCTCCCATATATTAATAAATCTAATTAAGAGATAAACAAAAGATAAACAAACCTGTAATCAATAAATAACATCCTATTTGGTGGAGAATTCGTGCTCTTACAACTTTAAAGATTTTCTTGTTCCAATAATTTTACTAGAAACAATATTTTTTTTAATTTTCATCTAATACAATTACTTGTAGTTTTTTTAGTTTAGTTAGAGGGTAGTTAGAAATACTGCTAAATCCGATATTATACTCGTATATTACAACTATCGGTACTTTCCGAAACTATGTGAATATGATTAAGTTTTTTATTATGTGATCTGAGGTAATTATTAAAACGTTGGCAATGCCACAAGGAAAATATAATTGCCTTTATTAGTTTTTATCTGTTCAATGTTAGGTATAAATGTTGTAAACAAGAATGAATCGCTAAATGTGTTGCTAACCGCAAAACTCGAGAACGGCTGGACCAATTTGGCTAATTTTTTTTTTCAAATATTCATTTAAGTCCAAAAAAGGTTCTTATGAAGAGAGAAATTGGAAATATGTCACAGTAAAACGTACAAAATATGTTCGTCTTTTCTTCTACTACTTTATAATTATGAACGCACCCTTAAAATTAATATAAACTATTTGAATGTATTTGTAATTTGGACGCTTTCTCTTTCTAAGTTTGACTTTGTTTGTTTGTCGTTCTTTCACGTGGAAACAGAGTAACGGATTGGAGTAATTTTTTGTGTGGAGATAGTTGGAGGGCTGGAGAATGACATAGGTATTTTACCGCGGGAGATTATCTTATTCCACGGAAAACGTGTTATTTTTTATATGCTATTCCATACTAACCGTTAAAACGTAGGTACCTAGGAATGAACCCAAGCGCAACGAGGGTGTAAGCAAATATGTATAACTAACATTTTAATTTTGGTCCAGCTGTTCACAATGCAGTTTCACAGCGCAATTCGAGAGTGCCCTAGCCATGCATCATCAACTTCACCACGAGCCACCGATGGACTGGAATTTCAAATCCAATTTGCCTCAAGTAAAGTGATAACTAGAACTTTACCAATACCTACATATGTCATTGGGAAAGCCCATTAATTGTTAAATTTTAGTTTTACTTATGAATTTTCAGATTTATTGTAGAATAGTAAGAGATTTTTCGGGCTTTTGTAAATAGCAGTAGATACATGGCAGGTTTTTGCTAATGACGGTTTGATTAAGTTAGATTATCTATAAATAAAGTATAATTAAAAACAGGTATCTATTACATTGAATTTATTGTATTAATTTTATTAGGAAAAATCAAAAACCATCCCTCGTACAGCTTGCGACAGTTCTTTTCGGAGTTCTCAAGAAACTAAAAATAAATGTAAGTCATCTTTAAAAGTTTTCAACACAGCTTATATTTTACACCTGTAAAAAAAGTAAAAAGTTTGTAAGTTTGTATATTAGGAACAACCTCTGCAACCATTGGAACGATTATTAAATTCTTTTACTAATTGTAACACAAGCTTCACTATCCCTACGAACGTACTAACGCAGATTTTTACCGTACAAATCGAGCAAAGACACAGGCAAAAGCTATAAAAAATCTTTAGAATTTCCCTGAGTATGCCTACTTAATGGTCGCGGGTTCGATTTCAGTACATTATTATGATGTATTAATTATACTGTAATTCAGATATTTGACAGTTACATCGATTTCAAAATTACTGCAAAAAGCAATTATTTTACCCTTACATTGATATTTTCAGAAAAAAAAACATCTTTATTGTCCTATTGTTTTCTCTATGAAGTCGGTTGGATGTCCTTCTGTAACAAACATTTGAAGTAATATGAAGTTGTTTATGAATAATTTTATAGTTATACTAGCGGATCTCGTGGCTTCGCCCGCGTTCAAAGTACAAAAATCTGTCTTCTTTCCCTTCCCTTTACAATAATGTATGGAAGTTTGCCCGATTTTTTGACATTTATGATTACTGCTGCGCTCCTTTGGATAATAGCATGATGATATATATAGCCTATAGTCTTCCTCAATAAACGGGCTATCTAATGGAACAAGAATTTTTCAAAACGGCTTAGTAGTTCTCGAGATTAGCGCGTTCAAACAAACAAATTCTGTCTCTTTATAATATTAGTATAGATTTATTTATGTACTATACATGTGTAGTAGGAAGAACGTCGTCAGCAACGCGTTTGTTTGAGAAACTGCGCGCGCGCTTAAGTAGAAGTAAGATGTTGTTTGCGCATCCTGAAGAAGATATCAATAATTTTAACGTTAGTCATTAATGATTTTTTACTAAATAAATAGCAGTTATTTAATATGTTATAATTTTATCAAATGGCGAAGTAGGATTTTTATTATTAAGAAAATTTGAACACTGTTATTATTATGAGTAGGTATGAGATTATAATTCCTTCACATGCCTTTGGAAAAAAAGTTAGATTCTCTCAGAGATGAAGGTTTCCTCATGAAGTTTCATCATGTTTTTTACCAGAGGTGCGAGACCCAGGACCCCTTGGTTGTTATAATAGCACTAAATCATAAACATTGTATGCAGACCTTTTTAACGTCCCACTGCAGGGCACGGGGCACCTTCAACACGAGGGGTATCAGGCCATAGTCCACCACGCTGGCCAAGTGCACCCGCACTGTCTGTGGCGGACTTCACATGTCTTTTAAAAACTTACTAGGTTCTCTCAGACATGCAGGTTTCCTCACGATGTTTTCCTTCACCGTTAAGGCAAGTGGTAATCATGTTGGAAATGATTTGCACATGAAAATATCAGAGGTGCGAGACCCGGGATTTGAACTCGCTTCACTCGGTTTCCCAAGCGAGCGCGTTACCTCTGGGCTACCACTGCCTTTTAAAAATCATAAACATTATTCTTAAAAAAATATTCACATTGTAGGATTTGTCGGGTCAAAGTGAATGCACGTCTAAAGCTTTGAAGGACATAGAGTCGAGTATGAGTGGAGTTCTGGAATCCCCCGGGACAAGCAAAGAAAGTTACGCGTGCCACTTATGTTCTTTTAATGCGGATCGGTTAGTTACTTCATTTAAGTACCGAGTGGTTGATATGCATTGATTATATTATTTGATAGTACCGGGCGACCTTTGCTTGACTTTACGTAGGCACTCGTTCACTAGCTTATCATCCATTGGCGATAATGCAAGTACTACAAACACCTAGAAGATAGCGCTATATGACTTGTCAGCACGAGAGCAGATAGAAAAAGCCTAAAAATTCGTTTGATTAAAAAATTGAATTTTTTCAGAAGACACCTATATATGTACATAAGCTTAAAAAGCAAAACTTTATCTAAATACAAAATTTAATCCAAACCGTTAGAGCCGTTTCCGAGATACACGAAATAAATGTTCACATATACAAGAATTGTTCATCTAATATTATAAGACAGGTATAAAATTTCTTACCCTCTAGTTAAGAGGGAACAAGGAGTTTAAATTGACTTTAAAAATAATTATTCCAACTTTATTTATCTAGTTAACTGGCTAGAATCAAATCAAAGTGGTATTATCCATCGAGTGCGTAAGTAAGAACACTGTAGGCCTTACCACTTCTCTTCTCTCTCTATCTTTTTCCTTTCTTCTCCACGCCCTCTCAAGTTATGCCACTGATGTTACAAGTGTATTTTCTACAATATCTTAGTGTATATTAGATTTATCATCGTCGTTGTTATTTTGTATGAAACTTTTTCCATTCATAATTTGGTAAGTCGAGGGTATTTAGCTAGCATAAGATGTATAGACAGTAAATAATGAATAATATTTATTTTAGGATAACAGTTTTGGATAGACATTTACTAAATGATCATAAAATAGGTCTAGAAAATCTTCTTAAACTAGTAATGTCTAAAACTAAAGATGGCTTATCAGAAGAAAATTCTACACAAATGTATGGAATACGACAACCCTATTACAAACAAACAGATGAAATATATGAAAATGGCGAATTGGTAATAGAAACGGTTACCCCAAAAATAAAAAAAATTAAGCACACTGCTAGCAACACTGATTTAAAGTGGACAGAGATACCAGACTCCAAAATTGATCCTCCGCTGGAAAATGATAAAAATATGTTATTATCTAAAATAGAGATTTTAAATGAGTGCATGTGTAAGTTTGTTGATTCGTCAAATACCTTAAAAAAGGTTCTGACAAAGGAGTTTGATCAAAACACTTTAAGAAATCAATCAGAATTTGCTTTGGGTTTAGGCGAGTAAGTATATACATACGCAGGTGTTAATTATATTTTTAAACGAGCACTTTTAGTTTTTCTCGCATTTTCTAATTTTTCGGGAAATTTTCAATTTTTTCCCCAAAACCTAATCCGTGCTATATTGAATGTTGTATAAAAATTAAATCGTTCCAACCTTTCTCAAGCGATGCATTCATTCGAACATTTCATTTTTAATTACATAGATAGATGATTTCCTATTTTTCTTATGTATTCCGCTACTGTAAATAAATTTTGTATTTAACACAGTCAAGAATCACCAAGAGATTGGGAGAGGGCTCATAGTGAGAAATTGGAAAGAAATAGAACAAAACATCAAGAAAATAGGTAAATTCTAATAAAATAGTAACGAGCTTATGTTCGTTTATTCAAAAGCTGCGTTTAAGATCTCTTAAATGTTTAGGGCGTAATAGAAAAAAAAAAATTAAAGTGAAAAAGTAAGATTTCAAAATCTCCTTCGAAGTAATTATTTTACGTTTAGAAATATTATTTATTCAAAGGTTTTATACATTCAAAAGAATGATAGAAATTAGTGTACTCAAAATACAAAAAAAAAAACACATTTTTTGTCTCTGTCTGACAGTCAATGATCTAGTAGAACTTAGTTAGAACTTTTTAGACCACATTTAAAAATAAAAATATTTTTTTTTTGACTTCTGTTGAAACGCCTAATAGCTATTAAACAGATACTTGATTTTCACAGGAGTGAAAAGATGAAATATTCTTCAGACAGTTTTTATTTTTGACCCAATTTGAAAGATTTGTATTAAGTATTTACATTTGTCAATAAAGTCGTTCAGTTAAAAATGTTCTTTTTTATTTAAGAAAAAATATAATATCCTTTATTTTTAAACAAATATATGTTTCAAAATTAATGGTTGTGTACAATATTATTTTGATCAAACGCCTTACGACAGTTTACACAATATTCAACATTTAAACAATGTTGATAATGGCAGCACATATAAAAAGTTTCATCATTTCTTTTATTTTTATGGCAACATTCAAAGGAATCCCCACTTGACATTTTATAATTTTGACAGTTACATTTTAGTGTTGCTGCATCATCATTCTCAGAGAACTTATTTTCAATTTTCACGACAGGCAACACTCGTGGTCCATTTCGAATCATCGGTCTATTTGGGTCGGTCGTGTCCAATTTCCGAACAGTTGCAAAGATTCTATTAACTTCTTCGATAGCGTCTTTCGATGTCTTTTTTTGTCTCAAACTATTTTTCAGTTCGTCCAATTTCATTTGTGGGATAGATGACGATTTATGTTTGAACAAATCTATCGAAAATTGCGATTTACTTTCTGGCTGACAGTTAATAACTTCGCATTTACCACTGTTATTACCATTTTCTTCTATGGAATAAAGAAACATTTTGCTTACACTCAACTTTGGTGTGATTCTTTCAGTACCGACACATGCATCTTTTAATATTATTGTCTTACTTTTATCTTTTTTAATCTCAGATTGCTTTTTATTTTGGAACACAGTCAGAACTTCGTTTAATAAATTTAAACCTTGAGTGACATCGGGTTGAGAAGTTTGTACGTTTTTCCCATTTATGCCGACTTCTTGTGCATCTCTTTCCTTATCTCCAGCTTTTCCATTATTTTTTTGGCATATGGGACAAGATTTAGATTTTCTTTTACAAGATTCAGTGTACCTCATGTCTTCCTTAGATGAATGTTTGTTTAAGCAAATAGAACATATAAATCGATTTGGATTATATTTGTATTTATCTTGTCTTTCCTTTTCCATAATTCGTCCTTTACTTTTGTAAGATTTTCGTTTGTATGTAGTTATGTCTATTTGAACAGATTTGTACTTTGTACTTGATATCATAAGAGTTTCGATGTTTCTAAAAATTAAACAATATTAAGTTTATTATAAATAATCAAACAAAATTCTTGAAGCTTATTTACATATCGATTTTTATTCGATATGTAAATAAACTTCAAGAGAGTTCGATCATTATTAGGTCTATAATTAGTAACAAGGTTTAGTGGATCCATTTAGCCTACGTACTTATATGTTATGTTTATTTCATAGGAAATATTTTTTATTGACCAGAAGCTAAGCTATGCCTTTTCCCCATTCACTTTGTTATTGAAATGAGTCTAAATATCTCTTCTAGTCGAAAGAGCCGAAATCTATTTTGGCTTTGTTTTAGCATTTATTTGATGCCCCGGTATCGAATCCGTGGAACTATGATTGTCAGTACCGCAACGATTTTCGAAAATATCGCAATACTAAGTTAAATTATTAAGTTTTATTAAATAATATGAAACATTTTAATTCTAAACATAAAATTATGTACTCTTATTATATTATACTTATTGAATTGAAGAAAAACCTTACCAAATAAATTAAATCTCATCGTATTATTTTATATTAAGGAAATATAGTAAAATATGTAAAGAATAAAACAATATATGACATCAAAATATATGACGTTGACTTTGAAAGTATTTCTTGGTATTTTAGAAAACGTGAACCCGAAGTTGTAATTCTTTTTAGATGATTGAATTTTTGATAATTTATTAGCGATAGATATTGAAAATTCTATAAATTAACTGTTAGGTCTACCTTTTTAAATAAATAAAATTTTATTATAATATTGGAAACAAAGAATAATTAAAAAAGGTTTTTGTGTAATTCTGGCAAGAGTTCTATCAAAATTCAAAAACGAATTTGTAATAGTAATGTCAAAATACGTAAAAATTTAGATGTAAATGTACAAAAATAAGTAAAAATTGAAAGTAATAACAATATCAAGGGATTCAAAGGTGGGTCGAGCGAAAATGAACAAAAATATAAAAATTATGATAAATAAGAAGAAATGAAAGATACTAAAGCTCTTTATGTAAATCGAGATATAAGATACTTTAATTTACAAAATCCTATGAAGGATTCTTTTGGGGCAAGTGACGAAAGTACTAACGATTTTGGCTGTCAATTTAATAGTAGAAAAGATAATTTGATATGTACATGTAGAAGGATAAAAAGGAAAGAAACAGGATACTTTTCGTCTCGTCAAGTTTATAGATCTCAGAGATACTTTAACTCTAAAGATTTCACAGATATTGGAGTAGGGAGTGTTAAAACTTTGTATAAAAACAGAGTAAAAAGAATATATTTACCAGACTCTGAGGATAGAGGAGTTGGGTCCTCCAATTTGTCATATTTACATCGTAAGTCCTCTGTGATCCGATATAAGTAATAAATATTTCGCATTTATATACACATAGGTTTATAGAAAAATATTAAAAATATTTTTCAATAATATAAAAATATTATATATATATATATATATATATATATATATATATATATATATATATATGATAACATGTTTTTAATATATTTTAACAGGACGAAAACGTTGGGTTGATAGTTATTATGAGTTAAAGCAAACATCTTCCAAGTGCGTCGGAGGTGCGATGGAAGAAAGTAAAATATCTGTAATTAGTAAGAAATTATCTCCAATAATTCAAACCATATCTGGTTCAACGAGTCCAACGGTTATAAATATTAAAAAGAACGATAACACAAGCAGCTTTGACAACAAACTAAATGCAAAACCTTGTGAGATAAATAAATGTTTAATCCCAGATACTCCTACACGAATAATAGAAAAAGACATTAAGAGTAATACAATAGTGCCCATTAAAAATAAAACTAAATCGACTATAATGAGTACAATTGACGATATTAAAAATTCTTCGTCAGATTCCTTTTTGCAACATGTTCATAATTTAGAAAACCCCAGTTACGATAAACAAAGCAAAACGTCGGTGGATCTAATCAAAAATAAGTTGGAAAGAGAATATAGAAAAATATTTTCTACAAAGCCAAATGATAGTATAACTGAGAAACCAATAACAGACTATAAAAGTTCATTTTTAAGAAGACGTTTTATGGCTTTGAGACGTTTAGGGAAAAATGAGGATAAAAATGATTCAATCGTAATGAAAATACCCAGCAAATGCAGCGTTCCTAGTAGAAGAGATGTATCAATTGTCTCTGACCCACCATCATTGGAAGCTCGGTCATATTCAAATACTAAAATGTATAGTCCAAATCAATCCGCAGCAAATACTTTAAAAAAGGAGACACAAAAAAAAGAAATATCATCTAATTGGTCAACAGAGATCGTGGACAGTTATTGTCAAGATGTAAAGGGTATGTTTAAACTATGGGGAAAGAAATTTAATTTCGAAGAAGATAATTATAAGAAAATATCACCTGAAAATTGTACATTTTCAAAGACACTGAAAAAGAAAGTAGAACTTGTATTACCAAAAGAAGAGCATCTGGATACGGAGAAAAAGGGAGGAAAGAGATTTTCATTCTTTAGAAGAAAGAGTAAGGACAAATCTAAAGCTTTTAAATCGAAAAAATGTGTAACAGCTGGTCGTTGTGAAGTAGGAGATGGTTTAATGATAAAAATAGGCAATGCCAATGAATACAACCACGATGAAACAACCACAATAAAAAAAATTGGAAGTATTCCAGAATATGATATATTAAGAAAGGATTGGTTTAGAAGATACTTACATAATAAAATAGACTCGCAAAATAGTGTTCAGATAAGATGGAACAATAGTATGTATACAGCAAGTAGCAGCACGGTCTTCAAATTGATTGACTGCGTTTATAAAAATACAGGTATTGTGTTTAAATCCCGAAGTGAAATAACAACGAGAGGATCATCTTATTACTCATATAGACGTCCTCAAGTAAATTTTATGCAACAAAGCATAGAAGCATGGATGATACCGACTATCACAGGAGATTATATTCAACCAAAAAATAATAACAGGATCGAGGTTACTGTCTCTAATGAAAAATGGTTTATAGAAAAATCTAAACCATTTTCTCAAAAAATTGAATTGGTATTACACTCTAATCTACAAAATAGAGAAATAAGTTCTGAATATATAATAATAGATATACCAAAAGGATACTTTTCGGATACAAGTAATGGTGAAAAAACTGATATAACGAGTGATGAGCTTGTTTATAATATAGTAGAGTATGAAATGCCTAATTCAAAATCATATTTACCAAAGCAAATCAAAGAACACAAAATGGAAACTGGTGATGCAAAAGATTTGTATTTTGCTAAGAGCGCGATAAATAATAAAGACAATGAGAGAAAGCTTTTAGAAAAAGTAATTAAAAATCCACCTCTTCATAGAGATGTGGTTATTCAAGGGAGCGACGTCAGCTTTCCACGACGATGTGATGTTATTGGTGTAGGAATTATCACGCAGAGAGACTTACGAGATATTGAACAACCGATGTAAGTTTCAATTTCTACACACACGATTGCTCCAAAATTATAACGCAAAATTGTGTTTGTTATTTATGTTGTAAAGGCTCAACAAATATTGAGATAATAATATAAAGAGATAAATTAAGTAAGTACAGTCACGAGCATAAATATATGACCATGGATATGAGAGGTAGTGTCAGATATTTTTGAAGCCAATATTTTTGCATCGCGTGTGTAGTCATATAGTTTTGTTTCCCTTCGATTTTACATATTTTAGCTAACAGCGTGGGAAGAATTAATGAATAATCTTGCAATCAGATGTTATTGCATAACTGTGTGTGAATACAAAAAGATCTTTTTTGCTAGTAAAAAGTAACAATTTAATATTATCCATTTTCAGATTAAAAATAACTGATGAGCCCACAGATGATGAATCGAAACACATATTGCCTCCTCCAAAGACGTGTGAACTAGCAGAAAGTTTTTTACAAGATTACTATAGAAACTTTAGCCCTCTTGGTTTTGATGTATTCTCTTGGTGTATAAGTGATTCCAAATTGCGTGGTTCTTCAGAAAATAATTCTTTAAAAAGCCTTAATAATCAAGGAGATGGGTCTAAATCATGCCCGAACGTATGTGAAGATTATTTAGCTTCCACTATAGTATCATCTTGTGAAACTTCATCTTGTACTCATTGTATTGCTCTAGAAGAAGAAAGAAAAGGGGATACGAAAACTATAAAGTTCTTTAACAAATTTAAAAATAAGAAGTCTACTGAACCAATATCTCAAGCAGATGGTAAACGCATACTACCGAAAGATTCTTTGGAAGTTTTTAAGCGAAGGAAAATATATGCAGCGAGTAATAAATCGAAATGGATTAACGAATGTGATAGACCATTAGATAAATGTATGCAAAAGGTTGGTTCTCCTAACGTAGAGAAGCCATGCATGGACGTGCGTCAAAAAACCAAAAATTGTAAAAAGCATGTTTCTTTGCAAGATTGCGATGTAATGGATGAAATTTTAAGAGGCCAACTCTCCGATAAATGTCTTGAAGGTATATTATCATTTAAAGGCGCGGCCGGTTGTGATCTTTGTAAAAATCCACCGAGTCCTCAGCGTGCACGAGTTATTCCAGACCCAATATGTGAAATTCCTCAGCCACCCTGTAAAGACTCATGTCTTAAAGAAAGAGAACCATCCTGTTCAAAGAAGAACTCTCCGACATGCAATGTCCCAGCTCCACTTCCATGCCCTGCGGATCCTCCAGTCCCTTGTCAAAAAGCTTGTCCTCCATTTCCTCCCCCATGCCGTGTGTCACCTTGTGGCAAATCATCTTGCCCTAGTTTACTCCCTTCTCTGCCTAAAAACAAGCCTACCTCATGCTCAAAGTCTTCATCTCAATCTAGTCCTCCTTGTTCACGCCCAAAACCAATTCCACCAAAAGTTCATTCACCTCTAATTTCTCCTAGGCCTTCACGTCCTTGTGTATGCCCAAAAAAACAGTCAATACCTAGTACACCTAGTATACCCAGATGTCATGTTCCTAAACAAAAAACTTATTCATCGCCACCGCCAATTATACCTCAAAAAAGTCCAAACTGTCAATCTTGCAATTCTGGATGTAAATCACAGCCTTCAAAAATTGAAAAAGTTTGTAGCCAAGAGTTTCTTTGGCCAATTAAATCTCAAGTATCAAATACCCCATCTAAAGAATCTGGGTTAAGTCTAAAAAAGTGTCCACAACCAAATTTGATAAAGAAAACTTCCAGCAAATGTATGAGTGCAATAAAACGATTAATCCAAAAAGTCTCAAGTTCATCTATTAAAGATTGTAAGCCTGACTGTGCAAATAGACGCAAAGTAGTCCCTCCTCCTCCATACCCTCCGAATACCACTATATCAAATACACCAGCCCATAAAACCAAATGTGCACCGAAAATGACTGGTCTACATCTCAAAAAGCCCCCAATGCTGAAATGTCCGTCAAAAGATTCTTTGTCAACCGTTGATGAAGGAATTATACGCATTAATTCACGAGAAAAAATAACCATAAGACTGAGGCAAAATACACCGAGTACAGCAGAAATAAGAGAAGGTTGCAACATAAAAGTTAAAGATGAAGATGGTCAAACACTTTATGAAAGAAGGGACTATAAAAAAAATGATAAAAATAGAATGCAATTTGTTAAGGATATGTATAGAGATTCGCAAATACAAAGAATTGATACAACAAATCCAGATATTGTTCTGCAAGAAAACAATTTAAAAATCAATGAAAGCAGTAGTGATACTAGTTTACCTAATATTATTGAAATTAATTTTAACTTAAAATTTAAACAAGCTGACAAAACAACAGAAGTGAGTATAAAGAATTGTGGCGATACATCTAAAGAAGAGAAGAAACAAGATGAAACTTTTCATAACGAATCCACAAAAGAAGTTTATGTTCTCAATGACCAAGCTAAAGCAAATGAAGAAACTAATAATACTGATAAAAAAGACGTCAGTATAAATATTATGATAAAAAATTATAAAATACCCAATAAGAAAACAAACAAACTTGTTAACTTAAAAACTGACGATTTTTCTAAGAAGATATCTGAGAAATTCCAGACAGTATCAACAGGTTACAGTGATATCATAGATCAACCAACATATTCTGTACATCGAGCAACAGTTAACTTGTCAAATTCTGATATCCACAAAGCATCGATTAAATCTAGTATAGAATTACTTAACGAAGAACTTAAAGAACTCGATTCTGTAAAATTTACTAACTCCGACGAGACTGTAAATCAACCTGTATCAAATAACAGGAGTTCAAACATTGAAAATCTATTGATTACTGAGACCGGCAGTCAAATTATACTGAGCAAAGATAATATATACACGACCCACGACGAAAAATCTTCCACCAGTATTTCTGTGACCGATAAAGATGTACATTCAGAAACGAAATATATAAATAATGACATTGTTATTCCTAAGATACGTGATAAAGAAGAAAAAAAGAAAATGCTCAAGGAAATATTTGAAACAGCCAGTAAAGACAAACAAAAGAATAAACAACAAATACGTCAAATGCTACGCGCTGTTCTAACTTCAGACAGTAGTGCATATGATATCGAAGTAAATAATGAACTAGTCAAAGAATTAACGTATGAATCTTTAAAACCTAACTACTTTAAAGACTCTGATAGTGTCACAAATTATTTAAACGGAACATATTCTGTACAATCTAATAATAAAGAATTTAAACAAATAATATATCCTACAGAAGGGAATAACAGTGAATGTAGTGACTCGGATAAAAGTGAAAATGGTGCTTGTGTATGTAGCAAATTGGCAGAAAAACTAAAAGTTACTGAAAATAGTGCAGGAGGTTGTTGTTGTAGACGTATTAATAAGCGAGATGAAGAAGTTACTTGCGATTTAAAAGCCCGATATGTTGTTGAAACAAAATACATTGATGTTAAGACTCAGAATTCTAAAAGTATAAGTAAAAATGAATCGTTCATTCCTAAATGTGAATACATAGAGAAAAAAGAAACAAAAAATAGACAGTATTCATCGAATTTACAAGTCAAAGCTTGTCAAATTAAGAAACTCAACAAACGCACTATACTGTATGTTTCAGATAAAGACAAAGTAGTTCTTTTAAGTACTCGAGATTGTTCTAAAACTAAAAGAATAGAACCGTTGGATGTGTTACAGTTATATGAGACTAAAAAAGCAGTTTTAGAGATTTACGCTGAAAAAACTTATTCAGAAGATGGCGAAAAGATCGTGGCGAAACTGCCTAAGTTTGTTGGAAAGTGAAATATGAAATTATCAAGAGGTTAACCCTGCGACGGGAGCTTGATGATGGTACTTACATATAATCAAAGACAACTAGTTGTGTTAATGGCAAATTGGAGAGGGATGATGAACAAAAAATATCAAAACGTGAAAAACAGTTCAATTGTAAGTCAATAATAAAAAAAGGTTGGCAAATATTTTTGTAACTTTTTAACTTTTGCGATATTTCTTTTTACAAAAATGTTCATCACATTAAATGGGCTTTGTTTTATGATTACATTATCTAAAAACATATATTTCGCATATCAAAATATAATATTTTCGCATAATTTTAAATTATATCTGTTTTGTATTTGTATGTTGTTATTTTATGTCTTTACTCAAAATACCATGTTTATATGTTTTATGGGTGAGAAGAATAAAATGCATTTGAAAAAATGAATGTTTTATTGTAAAATATAAAAATGAAAAATAAAAAATGTCACAAACAAAAAATAATAGTTTTCTTAATAATGATGACATAAATTCGAAATAATTTATCTAATATTTATATAGATTTAACTAGTAAATTATGTGATGACGTTTCCAAAATATAAATTGTAAAATAAAAATATAATAATATCCAGTACAAATTGTAAAATAAAAATATAATAATATCCAGTACAATTCACCGATTATTGTATACCAATCGGAATCCGTTTATTTTTAAGAGAATTTTTTTAATTGAAAACCTGAAGTTTTATGATTTTAAAATGTTAGCAGGTATATAAGGAATTCGTAATATAGTAAGTCATTAGACCTACAACTTTTGTAGAAAACATTTTTCGATAGAACGTCACAGTAAGCCGAAAATTGAATAAAACTATTTTTCAACGCTTTGCGTCCCCCCCATTTCTAGGGAGTAGCATGGCATGTGGGGCATTTTATGAATTTCTATTCCTTATATACCTGCTAACATTTTAAAATTATAAAACTTCAAGTTTTCAATATTTTGTTCCCAAACCGGATTCCGAATGGACTTGGTTGTCATATAGATGACATACATATAATAAAATAAACTAACCTAGTCCACTAACCGAGTCGAATCCTTACATATTTTTTCTCTAAAATCTTATTGAAATCATTATCATACAGAGGTCGAATCTATAGATTTTAGAATTTTTGTCGGTCTATCTGTCAGAACGCTTCACGAGAAAACCACTAGACAGATTTTGATGAAATTTGGTATGAAGATAGCAGGTTATGCGGATCAACATATAGGATACTTTTTACTGCGGGAAAATATATCACCTGTGAGAAATCTATACTAAATGTTAAAACGTAAACCCGACCAGAGCGAGGGTGAGTCGCTACTCGCTAGTATGTCAATAAATTTACACATAAATACATTTGAGAGACATTACCGTCCTTCTTTGAATGTCGGTTAAAAATAAATAATATTCAAAATCTAAAAATTTGCATAATTTCATCATTCTTTCCTATTATTATATTATATTATTTTGTATGATAAAATGAAATATTTCCGTCATTATCTGCATCTAAATTACCTTATCTTTGGTACTTATCGTAGCGCTACCATAAAAAGTTAGAAACTTCACAATCGTGTCTGGAAAAAAAAGATATACAATTAATACCAGTGTGCTATGAAAGAAAAATACATCTTATTTTTTTATTTTTTAACAAAAATAGTTAAAAAGAAACGTGAAACACGTCTTACCTTCCACCAAAAGCCAAATGTTAGCACAAAACACTAAATTCTAAATCAGTGATAAACAAGTGCTGAGACATACATACATACATTCACATGGTGCAATTCTAGATAATATAATGTGTATATAATATGCCTTAAATATAATATACTAATCTAAACAGATCAATTTCAAAAAACGTAGCACCTAAGTGGATATAATTCTAATTAGATGATGGAATAATTCATAATTTTGTTGAGCTTTTTAAAAAAATGTGACAGTTCACACTAACTTTATAATCTGATTTAGATTTTATATTTTTTTTATCTGATAAATATAATTGAAGTGTCTGTTTTAATGTAAAAATAACAGCTTTTTATTAAATGCGTATGAAATTATAAGAAATTTTATTGTGCCCGTATGTTTCGGCTAATCTTCGAAACGGCTGGACTGCTTTTGACGGGACTTTTACTGACAGATAGCTGATTTTATAAGGAGTAACTGACCCCACTTTTATTTTATAAAAAGAATTAAGATTCCGCTCAAAAAAATTAAAACGTACTTAGCGACGAGCGAAACGAGGGTAAGTCGCTAGTTTTTTATATAACATTATTTTGGGTATATTAGGATAAATAATACAAAAAGAAACTTTTAAATACACGTTTAATCAAAACTCGATATACAAATAAGTACGTTCTTGCACAGATACAACACAGCTAGCGGTCAACAGATACAAAACACTGTACAATTACAGATTCAACAACAATATTTACGCTACATTTGAACAATTTCATTGGAATATTCTAGTAGAAATATAAATAAAAAAGACATTAAATAATTTTTTGAGTTTTTGTTTTATATTTTCTTATTGAATGTTTAACTTTGAATGTTGACATTTTAAATGTAATCTACCAGAATATGCCAACTACATAAATAGCCTAAGCTGGGGTCTTTCTATATAATATGGACCCAAAATACTTTTGAGATACATTCCAAGCATGTAAATGCGTTAATAAATACATTATTTCTAAATTCCAAGCGAATACATTTTCGAATAATACTTTTTATAAAATATAAAGTAAAAAATAATACAACTTATTATTTATATTCGATTCGAATTATTTATACAAAAAACAGCTAAGTCTTAAAAATTATATCTTATGAGTACAAAATGAGAGGAAAAAAATGTTTGAGCAAAAATTAAAGTATTATATAATATGTAATAATAATATTATAATAATAGATGTAGATACTATAATAGGTATATTTGAAGTAGGTATCAAAGATGGAGGTAATAAATAATACCAAAAAAAATTTCGGAGACAAAATCTTAAGAAACGAATTTAAACGAAGAGAGCTTGTTTTTAATTTCGTTTATCAGTACAAAATTCTAATATAACTTATGTATGAACTTTACAAAAAACATCACAAAACGTATTGGAAACAGTTATAAGTTTAAAAACAACATTTTGCATATTTAAGAATAAAATACATTTTAAAAATATTTTCTGTGAGTTTTAAGGAAAAATCTCCTTGTTTATATTTCTATGAAGTAAGAATAAAAAATAAAAAAAAATGTAAATTCAAAATAAATTATCTTGTGATGGACATAGTTCAGCCTCCATACAATTATTATTCTCGTATGTATAAATTGACCATAAAACATGTTTTGTTTACTTTACAATGGGTTAGCCACGTTCAATAAATGGTAAACTAATATGAAAATGACTTTAAAAAAGATTTTTTTTCTTGAAATTTATTTGGAATTAATTTTTGAGTTTGACGATAGTAGGTATAGCCTCAGACTAAGAAATTATAAAGACAGAATGTCCTACAACTAAACATAAAGCCAAATAATGTTTTAAGATTGTATACAAATATTACAAGAATACTCATTACTGTGTTAATTAAGTAAATAAATATTAATAAATAAAAAGTGTTAATAAAAGCTGATATTATGCCAGTTCTCTTTCAAGGGGAAGAGAATTAATACTTAAAAAATATAAAATAAAATACCTATGTAGTATTATTTTTATTATTCGTTATAAATTGTGATGATTCATATTTTCTTCTCAAACTTCTTCTAAAAATTGTAAATTAAGGATTAATACCTATTTAAATTTCCCTTATTCTGTAAAAGAAAGTAAAGCAAAATCGATCTTTAAGGTAAAATCGAGAATAGTAGCGTAAACAGCATATTCTCGCTATGCCATTAAAAAATTTTCGGTGGGCTTCGTTTATTATTTTTTTTAGTTTGACACTATAGCCATTCATAAAAAAAAACATTAACAATATATCACAATATAATACATACACAAAAATATATACACTGAATCGAAACCGGCTCCATTTTTGAAGTTGGTCAAAAATATTATTATGCTTTAAATTTTTTTTATTTTTGGAAACAAATACCAAATTATTTCATTTAAGGTTAGGTAGAATAGCGTCTTGACTGAAAAAATAAGCGTAATTTATGTTTAAATCAAGTTTAATATTTTAGTCCTATTTGATCATGGCTATTAGTCACTCTTAAATAAAAAAAAGAAAGTTGCTGTCAAAACAAAAATCTTAATTCTTTCACACTTTATGGTCAATTTAACATTTCCCGGCAAATATTTAACCTAATACTTAATTTTAATCTAGTTTCCAATAAATAAATTAATGAATATGGCAGTTAATATTTGACCTAAGGGCTAAATATTAGCGTGCGCAGACTAGCTCCCGCCTTTAGTTTACTAACAAAATACTTCCAAAAAAATAAAGCAAATAAATGAGATTTTTTAGTAAAAAATACTAAATTTCATAGATTTTTTGTATATTTTCAATAATTATATATTTTTTTCTTGTTTTTTTAAGGAACTTAAACATTTCATTAAATGTTTGTAGGTTTCTAAGCGTTTCAGATTAGTGATATTCTATCAAAAAGTCTACAAAGAGCTTATTTTAAATGATTACACATTTCATATAAAGATCTACTCTAATAGAAAAGTTGCCATTTATAAATACTCAACACATTGACGTGGTATTCTAGTTTTTTCTTTAACATAGAGGGACTTTTTTGTGTGACTACTGTCTAATATATATATATATATATATATATATATATATATATATATATATATAATATATATATATATATATATATATATATATATATATATATATATACTCGTATATGTGATAACTGTATTGTAATAAATATGCGCATGATTCAGTAATAAAGCTAAATATTAGAAAAAAAAGCACCAAAATTATGATTAAATACTGCTATGAGTTTATTTTCACGAAAAATCTAATTTAATTTATTGTATTTAAATGTAGCTTATTAAAATATTTATATCCCTGTTGATATTTTGCTCGTATCTGATAACATACTTTATTATTAGTTCTTTATTGGAAAGTGACGAAACGGTGCAGATATATAGGTCTATCTCTTTCACAACTTCTAGTCTTTTACACGTGCCTAAGAATTTCACATGCTTCTTATATACGTCAGCAACCACTATTATATTTTAATCCATTTATCGAATAGTAAGAAAGGAGATAGAAACATCTTTTGCCTCACTCTAAGATATATATTTTTCACAGATTATATAAGGCAGTTTGCAAAACCGTCAGTTGTTCCAGAGAATGAAGTTTCCTATTATTTTAAAAAAAGGGATAAATATAAGTTACTCTTGTAGGAATGTATTCGTTTAGTAATTTTGCTTAAGTATTGTTTATATTATAACTATGTTTTTATGTCATATACTTTTAAAACTGAACATGGTTAAGCAAAATTGCGTCATAAAATATTTGTATAACAAGATTGAAATATTGTCAGAATTGAAAAATATATTTTATAATGCTATATTTCTAACAAAATTCCCATAATTAAAATTAGAATGTAAGTAAAATTTCTTTTTTTCTCATAGATAAGTCGAAGAGTAGCAAAATATCAACAATTTTTATTTTATTATGAATTTCATTATCTGTTGTTTTTATTTATAACTTAAAAAAAATATTTGTGATTGATATACAGATTTATTCATAACATTAATGTGAGTGAACTCATTCGCTTTGAACTTTTTAATATAATTTAAAACAATATACTTTTAGTTTTTGTGTTATTTAGTCTTCAACATCAACAACTGACATAACATGAAGTATCGATTTCCTAGAAGCCACGAAATATAAGAATTGAATTGAAGTATCAATTTGGCAATAGTTATTCGACAAATTCAAGTCTGATTTTACATAAACTTGGGCTTTTCATATTCTCTTTGATTATTTTGTTTTTAATAACATTATAACAATACAGCACGATTATTACAGGGCCGGATTAGAAGCTAGGAAAAGGAGTGATGGAAGTGAAGATATCAGGATCACCACGATACAAACTTATAATATTATATTTAAATAAAAAAGTCGAAAATAACACTAAATGGGAAAATAACTTTAAATATATTCTCTATAAAACATCACGCTGGCTATATTTTTCGAGTACATTTAAAAAAAACTTTGACTAATGATTTTTTTTTCTCTAATTAACTTAGTATTGTCCTCTTCACTGTCCTACACTATTAAATCCGGCCCTGATTATTAATGGATTTAGCTAAACTTTTCTTCGCTTTGCATTAGCTGATGAACTTCGTATGTCGATATAGAGATGTTCGATGTCTCAGAGGTTAGATGTGCGATTTCAACCTGGTGTGATAAAATACATAATAACATAAAATAAATCATAGTATATATTATTATGTACAAATTATTATTAATAATTGAAGAAAAAACATTTTGCAGTTAAGAATTAAAACTAGATATTTAAAAAAAATCTTATCATGTTCATACATTCAATAACTTATTCGTAAATAAAAATTAAATTTTAAGATTAGTATTATTATTGAAAAAAAAAATATCATTCTTACCTTATTATTTTCGTTTGCTATGTAATAAAATACTTCTACTAATTTAGTAGTTTTTATCTATATGGCAACTTCGGATTAAAATGTCAAAATCATGCACAAAGCATTCCAAATATAAATTAGCCCTATTCCTTTATTTCTATATTAACATGCAACTAAAGCCTGATTTAAAATCATTTCTTTTTATGCCCAGGTATTAAAATTAAAAAAAAAAATCGAATCTTATTTTGAAATATTTATTCTACGTCACCTTAAACAGTTAACAACAACAGAATATACAGTGTAATAGTAACAACGACGTAAAGAACGTATATCACACACCCTAGTCCTTGTAAGAGTGACCTTTCCGTATTGAGTTAAATATTACTGTCGATTATAATAAAAACCAATATCTGTATACAGTAATTCCCCAAATAACACGGTAGATTGGTTCCGCGTTATAGGTAAACGCGTTGTAGGAGTATTCTCGTATAACGCGCTTGTACAACCCCTTAAAACACGTTATGCTTATGTACAAATGATTCACGTTTTACTCTTCTCGTTAAAGGGTGTTTAAATCGAATATTAAGAAAAAACTATGTTATGAACGAAATATGTGCATTTTATAAATATCAAACTAAGAACATTTAATATTTTTATTTAAAACTAGCATTGCCGGCAGCTCCGCCCGCGTTCAGGTGACCAAAAAAAAAATTCTTAGGTTTTACATATTAGTATACTCTTACATTGCATTTTCCCGCGATAAAAAGTATCCGCGATAAAATTTCATCAAAATCCCTCCAGTGGTTTTTGTAATGCGGTAACAGACAGACAGACACACACACACACAGACAAAAATTCTAAAATTTTTAGATTCGGCCTCTGTATCGATAATAATGTTTATTTCAATAAGATTTTCCAAAAAATATTTAATGTAATTGGGCTTAGTTACAATTTTATTATATTTTGATATGTATAGATAAAATTTATATAAATAAAGTTTCGACACCTTTTAGTACATATATGTACATATAACCAATGTATTTATAATTCAAAACTAGGAATACAAATTTAATAAAATAATTTTATTTTATTTGATAATAACACAATTGGCTCACGTGCAATGGTACGCGAAATAATTATGAACTGTACAAATCATTATAAATTCCACAGTACAGAAATATAACGTGGGAAATCGCCGCGTTATATGGGGGAGTACCCGTGTTATACGAGGTATTGCAATCGCGTAATATGAAAACGCGTTATAAGATTACCGTGTTATAGGCGGGATTACTGTAGATGTTTAACTTATATTTATTCTGCCAATAATTTGTTTATTATTATTAGCCTTGTGAATTTCAGTTTGTATTTATATTGTAAATTATTGAAAAAAAAGTCTATTAAAATTAGCTATCATATTTCTTTTGATTCGTCAATTTGAATCACATAATATGTCAAAAATATAACGATTTTTTTCAAAGACTTAAGTAGAAGTAACTATTTACTTTCAAGGGTCACCGCTTACAAGAAAAAAATATTTTGATCTGTAAGTAAGTTTGAAGATTTATGTTAAATTATAACTTTTTTAGAAAAGCTCATTGTAAATGTTATAAAAAAAAATAAACGGATTTTATTAGATCAAGATAGTTACCATATAGTGGCTATAATGGCAACACTTGTAACATTTAATAAAAGTGTTTACTTTCATTTCGATGAGGAAAAATTTATGAAGAATATTTCACTGGCTTAAAATATTTAACATTTATAACTTATAATTATTATATAATCAGATTTATCATGAGACATAGATAGACTTATCTTATTATTATTTTTAACATAATATGGATGTTTCCATTTCAAAAATACTAACAGATCAAATCGATACAAGAATATATTATATTAAACACCCACAAGAAGCCGATTATATATAAGCCAATATCAATTGCTTATCAAACAACCTTTAAACTGCGATTACAAATTATGCTAAGCTATCAACAGTAACATTGGTCGACTATACGTTGGCAACACTGAACTTGACATGTCAAATATTGCTTACATAGATTTATAGATAAAACGTTAAAGAAAGTTTCATTGAATTAAGAAATAAAAAGAAATTTCACATTATTATTATATGTTTTTACTAAATAAAAATACAATTGTGTACAAAAATACATATACTATATACTCGTAAGTATAAGTGCATATGTATGCTTAAAATGAACAAACGATAAAGAAAAATCTCGTATATTTTTAAAACTTTTTCCTTACGTCTATGCAAGCAATAATGGCAGAACGGGAAATATATATCAAATATGGCGCTAGATACGGAATAGTTAAACATTTCTTCACGTAATTTATAAAACTTGAACATTTTAATATTTATTGCTGAATTTTGAAATAGTGATGGATATTTAATTATTGCTAAGAACATCGTGACGGATTTAGTTAATTCTTTTGCTATTATTATTTAATACTAATAAGTAATAATATATTAATGTTAATAACGTTAATTTAAAAAATTATAATAAATATAACTGTAAGTCTTAATAAGGGCTATCGTTTCTGGTGGCACCAGTTGGCGCCATTGGCGAGTGAGGTTCTAATATGGCATATTCTATAGCTATCGTTTGAAAAGTAGTAAGTAATTTAATATAATAATAATATTTTTTAGCGTGAAAACAGCTGCATCAGGCTTTTAAATAATTAACCCTAACCAAATAAATAAAATATTGACTTTTTATTAACTCTTCCTTTAAACCAGTAAGATTTATTACGACGTAGGATGTCTGCCATAATTAATCATAAGTGACACAATCTTTATAATAATCATGAATTTTAGTGAAAAACCGCGACAAAAAGCCCGCAAACATCGTTTCGTTTGACATTTCTAGAGACCTCACTCTAAACTAGCGCTCTCTCGCGATGAATTCAAGCGCTGTAGCCCCCATTTCTGTTCAAACTGAACTTAGACAAGATGATATTCTACAGCGCTATTCCATATGGCTAATAAAAGACTAATATATATATATATATATATATATATATATATATATATATATATATATAATTACACATTTAAATATTAGGTAACGTAATTATGGATCGTAGAAATTAAACTTGCCTAAGATAGCTGATTTTTAAGAATTATTTTGTCAACTCGAATATGCGTCATGAACGAAAATGTTCCCCTTTAAATATATAATATTAAAGGCAACACCTGTTGTCATTCAGCATTCAGTTTTGATATAAATTTATGCGAGAATTTTTAATTAATTTAATTTTCACATATTAAAATTAACAACTTTTTTATTACGACAAAAGATTTTCTAGAGAAATTTTTACTAATTATAATATTTATGCTACTAGTGTACCCGAATTTGTACTATGCAAATTAAACGATATGACGAAATTCCACCACAAAAAGGACGTCAATATTTATAATAAAAACGAGGGTTCCAAACAACTTTAAACAAAATTAAATACTGAATATAAAACTAAAATGAAAATTATATATATTTAACTGGCTAATTACTAAATAAAACCTTTAAATATATTCTTATATTTTTTATGGAAAACACAAAATTTTAGATAATTTTTACTAAGTTAGTTTCAGTCGTGACCTATATTTTTTTATATATTTTTGCAGATATTTTTCCATTTATTCATAAAAAATAAACTTACTAAAAATATGCATATCCAGAGAATAAACTGTGTATTTAGTAAGAAAATACTTTATCGAAAAAATAAATCAATTAAGTTGTAAATTACTAAAAAAAATATAACAATCTGCAAAAATTTACAAAAAAAAAAACATTCTTACCGATAATAACCTACAAAGCCCACATATTAAAAAAAACGTTTCAACTTTACAATTAAAAACGATCCAATAGTTTGGCAGACGTCACGTTAGTTTAAAATGGCAACACCGAAATTATTGCCCATTACAAAAATCTACACCACCGTTTTAAAACTAATTTTTCGCACTCCACAAAATGGAAGCACCCATTTTTTGTGTTTTGAATCGATTTTATCTAAAACATACTAAAAAGCTAGCGTCGTTCGTAAAAACTTTTAAGCGATTAATATAAAGAAAGTAATCATTTATAATCGGATTCTACTCTTTGTTTCAATTGCAACTACCCACCAGATAAGCAGCGTCCAAAAAAATTGATAGCATTAATTAAAAATGCATATATGCTGAAATAAGTGTTCTATAAATACACTATATTATGTATATGTATGCACATTGTACATTTAAACTGGAAAACTAAAATATATATATATATATATATATTATATAAAAAATACAAAAAAAAGTTTTTTGACAAGAAATCATTAATAACGCAGCAGTAATTGCATTTAAAAGTAATAAAAAAAATATAATAAAATATGCAATACTAATATTGCATTGAATGAACTTAATATTGAATTGAACTTAATATGCGTTTGAATATAGAAACAAGAATTTTGTTTCTAGAAAGATTTTAGTTATACTTTTAACATTTATTTATTATACAATTTTCTTTCTAAATGCAAAGAAATATCAACTTGTAATATGTTATTTGTAGAAGCATTGCTATTTGTTTTTACATTATGCTATGTAAACTTAAAGAAAAGAAGTTACAAACTTCTCATAATATCATATAATATATTGTTTCATTTATTGTTTTATTTTTTGTAAAAGAAACATAAAAAATCTGCGTAATGTGCTTGAAGTGATAACATCTAGTGATTATACTGTGATGGGTTAGTGTTTCCTTCACCAAAGTAAAAGCAAATTAACGTAACGACCAGTTATAACCAATCTTAACTACTTTTACGAAGTTTATTTGTTTTTTTTTTTTAATTACTGTAATTATGTCAGATTGGTTACAATAGTCATTGATTTTTTCATGTATTGGTAGAATTGCCAACTTTTGATAAAAAATTCTATTGATCTTTTGATTCGTATAATATAGAATAATTAAAGTTGGCAACTCTGATATGTAAGTTATAGCAAGCAGTGTTACCTACTATCATATGTAGAGGCTAGTTTTGATTAGTATGGTTATTTGAGAAAGGGATCTGACAGATTGATGTAAAAAATAATTGTCAATAACATACAAAGGTAATTAATATATTTACTCCGTAGTAAATATATGTACTTTATTTTATAATAATTAAAAAAAAAAACGTTAATTGTTCAAAATTCAAACCTATTTGACAGATTAAATAAACGTTCCAATAATACATATTTATAACCATCGATTTTTTCAATCTTTCCGATCAAAACTTCTGACCGCAGTCAAAATCAAATTTTCTGACAACTGTCATCTGTCAAATTCCGTATCTCATTAAGTTAGTATTGCAAGTACACAATATTAGTATTGCAAGTACATATATATACTCACCACTTCAGTAGTGAGGCAGTTGATAGGGGTCGCGCGGGGCGGCGGCGCGGGGCGCGGGGACCGACGCCCGGAGCTCGGGGTTGCACCACGCATTGGTGTTATCGGGTAGCCTAAATGTGCATATAATTAGCTAACTAACGACTTATCCTTGCTTCGCTTGGAATCCTAGATGTAGTCTACATACGTGTTACTCAGATAATAAATTTCATCTAAATCCATCCAATCGTCTTAGCGTGAAGGAGTAACAAACACATACACACATACAGACCTACGTACAAACGTATCTTAATATAATTTTACTTCGTAGAGTTTTAAACGATATGAATACCAACTAGCATTTGCCTGCCGTTTTGTCCACTACTCAGCTAAAAAATAGTGAATTTTCATAGAGACTTTAAGCCCCTTTTTTACTCTTTGGAGTTTCTTAATGGATACCTATTCCCTACTTCCCAAATTTCAATTTCGCGCTATACTTTTTGAAATGTTCTGTTTAATCAGTAAATAATATTTCGCTTTTATATATCTTATAGACTAGCAGTCTGAAGTGGCTTCTTTCGGTGCTTTATTCTTTATATTACTGAAAATACTTAATTCTAGTAATCGTGCTTCTCCACATTGTGTAGAAAAATATCAATTCTTAAAAAGCTTTAACCTTCTTTTAGAGGGGTTCACCTTAGAAGTAAACTAAAAGATGGAGGTTTATTTAGGATGTTAAACATCTAATGCGGCGGGTTAAACCGGCTGTTGGTGTGGCGACGCGTTGCCACGTCGCCACGCGCTCGTAGCTCTCAGGCTCTCTTCCTACTCGGCGCGGGGATTCCCCCCTCCCTTGCATTGATTTCGTATTTTAATTTTCTATTAAATTAAGATATTTTTTATATAAAGATTTTTCTTTAAAAAAAACTGTAAATTATGTTTTTAAATGTAAATGTCGAATTTACTACTTTTAAAAACCCATTTGGACATGCATATTTTCTATACAAAATACTTTCGATGTCTCGCATCTGCTGATTTAATTTTTTTTCTAATACAAACCTTGAAACAGATATATACCTTGTTCACTACTACTAGACTCAGTGAAACTTGGGGTGCCTTCTGTCCACGTGGGGGTCGATCCTTCAACGGACGCTGGGGGTGTCCAACATACGCTGGAAATTGCAAGTGTAAAAATTATATTATAAATCAAAATTTACTTTTTTAATTAATACTCTTTGCTTTTATTTGTTTTTTTTTTGTTCCCGACAAAGGTTAAGGAAGCTACTATTTACTTCAGTATAAAAACCAACAGAAATAAATTATAATCTCTGATACTTATAATCCAGCATATTATATTTTTCCCCAAAGATTTATGTCGACCTAAAATTCTATTAAATCCTTTAAATTTATTAAAAAAAATTTGTTACATAATGAGTCGGATGTTCCGTTTCCACTTGGTAAAAAAAACAACCAAAATCAGTTTCCAGATCATATTGTTCATAATAATTATTTGCCAGCATCTACTGTTTTGATCATGGTGACCAAACGGACTGAGACTAGCCAACCGCAGGACATATTATAGTGCACGAGCAAGCGCGCAAGCACAAGTGCACTCTTAATTCCTGTAACTTTCATCACTTCAAAAGGCGGACGATTAGACACGAACGCGACACGGAAGTGGTAAGTGTCAAGTCTATGCTGTTACTGAAAATTTCTTGAAAAAAAGATTTAATAATATATTTGGCCTGAGTAGGGGCTCGAGCCCAGGATCTCCGGATCTGGAGCCGTACATACGTTCTCCTAGATAGTTCTAACAATAATTATTCCTACGAAATAATAGTAATCTCACCTAGCTTCATTACTCCTTGCACTGCTCAACGCTGCAGGAGTCAAAGCCAAGGACGAGGCTGACGACGTTGTCATCACACTTGCAGCACTTGACGCACCTCGTCTCCTCCCTGACGCACTCGATGATGTAGTGGATGACGAATTAGTGCGACTGGTTCGTGGTGGTGGGGCTTCCTCGAATGGTGGTGGGGGAGTCGAACAACAGGATAACGGCGCACCAGCTATAAACAACTAGCGTTACTCTCTAGCTTTTGATATGCGCATGCGCAGAAGGGTCTATCTAAACGTAAAAGGGATGCGATATCAAAAGAGTATAGGAGAAATTGGTAAATCTAATGATGTTAAAACTAGTGATGATAAAAATGAAATGGTAACTAATGTAAAATAATGTTTGTGTAAAATTTAAAACTGTATAATGAGAACATAAAATGGCAGTTCGTATGCAACACAAACTAATATAAGCGACTATATACTAAATAATAATGTTGATATACTAAATAATGTTGATATATAATTAGTGTTAATACTAATATAGATTTTAAAAATACAAAAGACATTAGTTCAAAGCATGCTTTATAATTTACATCACTTTCCACATTCGTTTCGAAAATTTGTTCTTTTAATTTACAATACTTCTTCAAATTCTTTTCTCATCTTAAACATTATTTTGTTATCGTAACTCCTAAATATTTCAGTTGGCTTTGTTTCGTTAGTTCTAAATTGTTCTATTTGTTTTATTTCATTCTTTTTTCTAGGCGTTATTATGTTTGGTGGATTTGGCTCTGGTACGATAGTGACTGAAAATTTTCTGATTTTTTCATGAACATTGCCAGTACTTGGTTTGAATCCTACAGGATCAGGTGCTCTATACTTTTTGCCGTAATTTGGTCTCTTTACTGGGCCTTCTTTTTTAGGTGGTTGATTAACTTGATGAGCTTCGAACACTTGCTTGGTTTGTTTGACCACGTCTCGTTTATGAACAGTAGATAGGATACTCTCTCGTGATGACGCCACAGAACATGTTTCTGATTCTGACTGTACTTTAAGTATTTGTTTTTGAAACAAGTCAATTTTCGTTTTAGCCTTTTTATGGCATACAATTTCATCTTTGTTTGCTTTATAATGTTCTTCAGTGTATGGTTTTATTACAATTGTCGGTTTAGACTTCATTCTTGAAAGGCCTCGATTTTCTTTAATAGATTGTTTAAATTTCTTCGTTATCCCCGACATTATCCCGCCTTTGGAGTTACTTTTTTCAGGTATTTTTTCAGAATCGGCGAACTGTAAATCTTTCTGTATTGTGGGTATCTTTTTCAAAGTATTTAGTCTAGAAATAAATCCAGAGGATTTAGGTTTTGGAACAGAAGTTATACTTTCCATTGGAGGAGGAGTAATGCTTTCTGTTGGTGATTCGTACGACTTATTCATTGATGATTCGTGTAACTTCTTATGTTTTGATAGTGTATCAACTACAACTTTATTACCTTCACCTAGTTCATGGACTACAATTATTTCATCACTGCTAGAATCTGTAAACGACGCGTCATCATAATCTCCCGTATCTAAGTGTTCTCGTACCGTTTTATCAATGTTAAACTTAGACATCATAGTCGATTGAGCAATCAAATCCTTTCCAGGGTTGAATCTTTCAGTTATACTGTCAGCTTCTTCTGCATAATCCAGGAAAGAGTTAGAGGCTACTAATTTGGTAACTTTAATAGAGTGATCAGATATAGAAGGTGGGACGCGGCATGCAATAGTATCTCTAAATTTCATATCATGCCCATAAAAACCAAAATCATCGTCACTACTTGTGATAGGAGTTTGCGGTGGTATATCGTTAACCGATATGTGCAAAGTGTGATAATCACCTTTAGTTTCGAGGCTCGACGTCTGAGAGTTACCGCCCCCTCGCTTTGTCTTTGGGGATCCTCTTGGAGGTACTGGGGGTGGAACCCTCTGTTTTTGAGAACCCTTGAGGACAGCTGGGAATGCTATTTCTGGCTCGGACAACGTGGCCATTGGCGGTGCTTGGGAAATCTTTACTGCAGTCGAAACCGGTGACGTCACTGATGTGGGCGTTATCTGGGCTGTGACATCAGTAAGGGACACTAAAGGATATTAAAAAACTCGCAAAATTTGTATAGATTTATTTAATTAAATACGTTGTAGAAATAATACAATTATATTGGCACGGAAGGAGAATTAATAAAAGCGTGGAGTAACAAATTATTTGTGTAAGATAGGAAGCGTTATTTGGCAATATGGTTTAAATATCCAAAATAGCATGTTTATATTTATATTTTTTATGTTGAGCTTGACCGCCAATGTATCGTTTTATTGGTGCATCGTAAGAGTGAGATGAAACATGCAGATTTGTAGAAGTAGGTGGAACAAGAATATACCCAATAGTAACAGATCCAAAAGGTCATAGCAGCATGGAAAGAAGATAATTATAACAATAAGAAATTATTTTTTAATTATTTATATTATATATAATCAGCACTATTTTATGTAAAAACGAATTTTTGTCGATGCCATTTCATGTTTTGTAGATTAATTTCATTATAATAGTTTCATAGCATAAAATAATTTTGTACGAACAAAATAGGTGTTTATATACAGCTGAATGCGTGAAAACCATGCTTATAAAAGCTTATTCGCAAAATGTTGTCATTATTACCAAAATTGATATTTTAATATTTCTTAATGACAACATTATATAAAAGAAGCAAGTAAACAATTATAATTACACAAAACAATATAATATAATATACTTTGTTTATTATTATTATATACTACATATTAGTATTAATTATAGTTAATTTATATATATTTTATCAATTAATTGAACTCTGTTTTAATTATGGAAAAAATATACTAGACTAGTTATCGTGCTTCGCCGATGTACGTCTCTAAGTAACAAGTTTCATTGGCCCATAATATCTCTATGAAAAAATCACAACAATCTAGATAAAAATAAACAAACTTTCGTTTTTATAATAAAAATTAAAAAATTAATAAAATTGCAGAAACCATTTTAAAATGTCCACGGATATGACTTGTACACTATAACATTAACTGAGCAGTTGGTATTTGGTAAGTCATTGAAATCGGTCAGAGGTGCAATATATACACACTAATATTATAAATACTAAAGTCTGTATGTTTGTTACTTCTGTAAGCTAACGGCTCAACAGATTTGAGTGAAATTCAAATTGGAGATAGTTTATAACCATGTATTAACATAGGCTACTTGATAATATCGACGTACATGCAAACAAAGCCGCGGGCAACTACAATCTCATATATAATACTTTCTTGTATTTTTTTGCATGTTTCGCGATTTTATTTTGGCTTTTTGATCGCCCCTAGACAAACAAAAACATCCCACGGGAGCCGTACATTTTGCTGGGATGAAAAGTAGGCTATTTGTTATTCTGATGTATGAACTATATTATTGTAAAGTTTCATTAAAATCCAATCAGTACTTTTTGTGTACTAAACTGTATAAGTTACTGTAGTTTTTTAACGATCCCACGGAAACTCTTTAATTTTCCGCGATGAAAAGTATCTAAAATGTTGACCGGGGATATAAGGTACCACCGTGCAATATTTCATTTTAATCGGTCCAACAGTTTAGGAGATTAGCCCGTACAAACAGATAAACAGACAGTGAAACAAAAAAATTAAAAAAATCTGGATTTGCTCTATTTCTCTTCTTACAATAGTCTCTAAGACGTTTAAAACCTTAGTCTCTCCCGTGATCATGATTGCTGTAAATCATTTCAAAAGTCGGGAAGCAAAATCCAAAATAGGATTCGAAAAACAGTTTTATATCTAAGTATATTTCATTCGTCTTAATTTCTACCATCAGTCTCACCTGCTTTCATGGTGACACCACTGGACGTTGTAGCGCCTATCCAAATGTTAGCGTGCAAAATATATGTATTATATTTACAATTTTTATATATAATATATATGAGAAATATGTACGCATGTATATAAGCTATATAGTATATATTATTAAAATACAAGCAATAGCAGTTCTAATATCTATTATTATAAGTAAATTATAAAGCTAATGTACTTTTTTTATATACAAAAGTACCCTTTATGCTGTTTTCAAAAAAAACTGTATACATACGGCTTTTATTTTCATTTTATATTTGATATTTATTTGATTAGATGATTAAACGATGATATTAATTAAATATTAAAATATGTATAAGTTTATCAGAAAATAATCAATACATTCAAAATTATAGGTAATATTATAACGTTTTATTTTTAATATATATTATTATAAAACAATACAATTAATACTAATAAAGAAACCAAAACCTAAGAAGGATAATAAAACAATATTATTTAAATAAAAAAAAACTCATTTATTACAACATTTACATACATTCAAATTACTCATTACACAATGTTTGTATTAAAACATAAATAATATTTTACTAAATAAAATATGAACTGTCTTTATTCGATGTCTATTCAATTATTATAATAATATGTTACAGTCAAACCTCTTGACCGGCCAAAACTGGTTTTGACTGTTAAAAACCTGTCAAAACTGGTTTAGACTCAATATTGGTTATTAGGAGGCTGAACTACAAAATATCACTGAAGGTAGATTAAAATTAATACAGTACATTCCTTTCCTTACACAAGATGAAATTCTACAAGCGATATCGATAATAGAAAACAAAAAAATATATGAGAACGGCATATTCTGTTACGTGATTTAGCGTTTGATATATCATTTCCATACACTTATTATCGATCGTAGATATCATCTCGTTTAAAATAAAAGATTAAGGAATTCATTTTGATATGGAATAAATGCATTGATCTTACACATATTTTTTCGCTTCGGTGATCAAAAAAACTTAGTTGGACACAAAATTAGTTGTCATTCCAAAATCGATACATCGATACAATCAAGTCATGGAAGACTTATATTTTTTTTATTTAGATTTTTTAATGTGTTCGCTCAATTATTTTTCGTTTTGTCCATACACCAAAGAAAACTGAAATAAATTACATTGTATGCGTGAAAAGCATCATATACTTGGATTATATTATATTTTTATATTATAATAAAAATATATATAATTGCTAAATCTCTCAAAAACGTCTCAGACATATATTATTATGTGTATGGTCAATACATATGTATGTGTGTACGTGGCAAATTATTACTGCCCCATATCATAGGAAACTCTCATCCACAAAGTGGCCTAACCTTAGTAAAACTAGTTTTACCAATATTGTATGAAAAATTCAAATTATAAGAAAAATATTTGTAACATATATATCATATTAAATACAAGTAAATTATTATTAAAATTTATCATTACTATAATTTATTTCAAAAATACAGGTTAGGCCATTTTCTCTTATACTAATTGTGGCTCGATATAGTTTTATAAAGAAAAAATAAAAAGAATATTATGTATCTGTCTTTTTAATAAGATGAGATGCATATAAAAACTTTTTTTTTCAGTAAAGATTAATTATAATATATAAACTGTTAAAATTGATCTACAGAAGATAATCTATATACCATAATTTATAAAAAGGAGTATTATTTAATATTATATATATATAGTGTGATGTAACCGCTATACAGATTGTAAATATTGTACATATAAAAAATCTCAAGGTTATATTTGATTTGACATAGTTCATTAAATAAAATTAAGTAGATAATGCCCGGATATGCATAAATTGTTTTTATTACACTGGAAAGCAAAGTCAGTATTTTAGTATTATACATATCTAGAATAAAAAAAATAAATAAATATTGTTTAAAAAGAACATACGATAATGAAAATCAATCTCATGGAAATTTACATAATAATATAGTATATTATGCTTACATATTTTTTACTTGTATACTTCTTATATCTCGTTTTTTTTGTGACTAACTCAGTTTCTAGTTACAATACCTACGTTCTACAACAAAATGTACTAAACCAAAAAAAAAATTGGTTTTGGTTTTTGATTTTTTTGTTGTTAGCACATTTTGGTATTTGGTGCTTTATCATTAATTATATATAGGGTGAATAGTTTTAGGACAGCGTTGTGACATATATACATACATACATATAAATATATTTATTACTCTTGCTTTTACTTATATAATATTTTTATTATTATAACTGCTATACATAATAATAAATGAATATAATAAATTAATAAAATCTCACGCCACATCCCTAAACATCTCTACGACACAAAAATGGAATCCATTCGAAAACCTAATAGTAATAATGATATCGATATTATTCACTACTTAAGAACCTAACTATAAAATAATAGCACGAAAATAAATACTTTAAATAAATAAATATATTGGGACATTAACACACAGTCCCATCTAGTTCCATGGTAAGCTACGAGAGAGAGATGTGTTATGGATACCAGATAGTTGACACACTACACACACACACATATATATATATATATATATATATAAATTTAAATATATACGTATTATAAATATAACTATACTATTGAAAGTGTTCGATTTGTTACATACAAGCTTTAGTCTGCGACTTCGTATGTTTATTTTGTCTTTAGAATTATTTCGGAACGAATAATAATTACACCAGCTTAAATTAATTATTGACAGACTTCAAAAAGGAAAAAGTACTTGATATCATGATTTTTTTCACCAATAAAGATGGAATAATTAATTTTGTTGATTTTGACCAATTTAAAAGAAATTTACATCAACTAATAAAAGATACTATATAACAAAAATTTCAATAAATATAACCTATCGTTGCTAATTTTAACCGCAACAAAATCTGCTCAATTCGTGTGAATATTTGTTTTTGTGTTTGGTATAGGGTATTTTCGTTATCCATACGATATTTTCACGATTCTCTTTTTGATAAAATAGTGGTAGCCCAGTGGTAACGCCCTCGCTTAAAAAACCGAATGAAGTGGGTTCAAATCCCGGGTCTAATACCTCTGATATTTTCATGAGCGGATCGTTTCCATTATGATTACCACTTCTTTTACGGCGAAGGAAAACATCGTGAAGAAACCTTTTTTTTTATATGTTTTTGAAAGACATGTGAAGCCCGCTAACTTGCACTTGGCCAACGTAGTAAAGTGAGGCTCGTGCCTAGCAGTTGTACGTTATAAGGTGCTGAATACAATACAATACTTTTTTTGATAGCAATCCCATAAATAATGAAACATAAAGGATGAAAATTATCTAAATATAAACTTTTATAATATTGACGTTTTACAAACGATAATATATACATATATACATACATATATACATACATACATACATACATACATACATACACACATACATACATACATACAAAACAACATATTATTTCCTTTCAACTAGCCACCCTGTATATACAATACATTCATAAAATCCAATAAATTACAAATATAATTATTATTTGATTATAAGGAACTATTTTCACTACTTGTGATGCTAATGTATACTATAAATAATAATATATTTTTTTTTATTAAATAATTTTTTAATTATTTGAATAAATATTAAATTTTTAAGTTGAATTTTTTTTAATAAGCTTTATTATAGATGATCTTGGGATATAACATACTACACTTAATAAAACTTTTTATTATTATTTTATTATTTCTTTTCGGCTATAATATTATTGTTGATTATTGTTATTATTATGTATGTATTGTGATTATTATTATTGGTTTTAAAGCTGTTTTTATTACGCTATATTATAAGCAATCTGTTTTTTAACAAACTCATTCTACCTATGAAGGTGGAATATTAATATTTTTAAGATTATTTTGAAGTCATTTTAACTTTTACACAAGAATTATAGATGTTTATCACAAAATATAAGAGCAATGTTACAACAGAAACCCTACAAGAGCCTGCTTGAAAACCTTCTAAAAAAACCCTTAATTTCCCACAAACATATTTGAACAGTCTTTAACAAAATATAACATCAATATATTAAAACATAGTAATAATGCACCGTTTTTATATTATCCGCTTGGAAAGCAGTAACAAAGCCAATATTTAGCTTTTAGTACAACCGCAACCTAATATATATAGCTTCAATCCGCTGGTGGAACAATAATGATGGTACTTCCACTATCCTTTCCTTTGTAAATGGCAGCGTTTTCCAAACTTTTCACATAAACTACTTCCGTAATAAAACTTTCGGACGAATCTTTTATATGCTCATCGCCATTCAATTGTACGACTGACACGTGTTCTTTACTTTCATCGCTGGAAATTTTCGGAGATTCTGGTTTGATATAAACAGTTTGAGTGGATCTGACTTTTCTAAATCTCATATCTTTTGGTAGAGTGGACGCTTCACGAGCTTCAATATTACTTGTGGGTGTGACACTACGAGTTCTGTAACTCGAAGTGTAAGTTTTTGGTAGAGTATTAGCGTCTTGGGTTTGAGAATCGCTGTCTGCCTTAACAAAACCAATGTCAACGAAGAACTTCTTGAATTTCTCAACAAAAGTTGGTGATTTGGCTCTATTTAGACTGCTCGACAGTCGTTCATGGGAATGTTCTTTTGAATCTTCATCTATCCTCTCAGGTATGTTTGACATACTTTTGTGTTTCTCCAAATTAGTTCGTCTCTTCCATTTCTCCTCATCATCCTCATCTATGAAGGGTATATCTTGGAGGTTATCATCGTTTCTCGTATCAACTGCTGCGTCTTTGAACTTGGGGTTGAAATTAGCATCAGCTATATATATCTGGGGTACACTAGTGCTGGTGTTGTCTGTCTGTATACCACTGTCTGCTAAACTGCCATTTATGTGAGAGCTACCTGCACCCGTACTTAGAACTTTAGTTAATTGATCGGATAATGATTCCATACGATCTTGTATCGAAGATCTGTACACATTATCAGCGTAAGACGGCCCGGGATCCCGTGGACTTAAATTTGATGTATCAAAATCGATTCGCCTTTGAAATGGGAGGGGCAGCCTATCCCTATCCATAACTTTTAGTCTATCCGACAGAACAGAGGGATATTCTGTTGGTATTTGGTGTCTTTGGTTCCACGTTGATATTGTGGTATCGGTGAAGTCACTCATACTAGATCTTACAGAAGATCTGGGCGATAGTCTGGCCTGTCTCAAATAGTCCGGATTATAGTCCTTTATAGGCCGACCGATGACTTTACCCCCTGCGTACAAATGTCTTCGTTAAATTCTATCACGTTTTTGGTACATTTCAGTTTATTTCTCACCCCCCCCACGGCCGTTGATTCACACCGTTAGCACATATAACACAAACTTTTTTTTTCATAAAACAAAACACGCTCAAATTCGTACTGCCAATGCACCGATATATTCGAAAGTGTAATAGAAAAAAAAATAAAAAAATGCACAACAGCTATAAGGATAACAAACACCAGAAAGGATGGAGGTAGGGTACAAAATAAACTGAAATGTATATAATAATATTAAGGTACCAAAAAAAAAAAATAATATTCCGCATTCACTGTTAGGAATAGGACTACTAGCTACTTTTGTTAAAGAAAAGTGTATTTTTATTTTCAATTTCTTTTAGGTATTAGTATATAAATCATGCAAATATACATATTTTTATAATATAATCATTATAGCGCATGCAAAAAAAATCTTTTTAATAGAAAAAAATAATAAAAATACACTTTTAGATACAAACAAAATAATAAACGAGCAATACCTGTATTATCTGTGTCTTCTTGAGGTCTCGAAGGTTTTGCGATGGACTTCCTCTTAGACGGCGAATGTTTTAGTGCTAAAATATAATAAAAAATAATGAGTTACACACTCTATAATACATATGAAAAGTATTATTGTGGTGTTTTTATTTTCATTAGTTTATTATAAAATAAAGAATATATATATTTTTAATTAAAAAAAACATTTATTTGGTTTAAAAATAATTTCAATACATTTTAAGCTGATCATAATATTTAAGTATATATATAGTTAACGTTGCACTTAACACCACAAACATACTTATGTAATTATAAACAAAGAATATAGGTACATTAAAAAAGCATTTGTATAAAAAGCACATTTTTTTTTAGATTTCGCAAAAATAAATCTCTCCAAGCTCATCTAAAGAAAAAGAAAGAAGAATATAAAGAAATAAAGAAAGAACCGATGAAAATCATGCCAGAAGATTGAAAGTTTTTTTAGTTCAAACGCGATCAAAATTATTTCGCAGATAGAATGTAGAAATAGAGACATATAGAATAGAATTAAAAATTTACAGATTAAAAATAATAATTTAGAAAAAAATGTAGATTATGTAAATGTGTATAAATAATGTTTTAAAAAATGTGAACTTTCGAAACACGTAAAATAAATAACTAGCCGGTGTTACTTTCTAAAAGTTTAATAAAATATATATTTTTTTATTTGTGCCAATTCCATAATAAAATCAATAAAAAAATAAGGAATCTAATAAACAAGACTTAGCGTTCCATAAAAAAATAATTTGGAAGAACTGTCGTCATGCTAACGTATTTATATGGACTTATGAAGGGTCTAACTACACAGATAGGTAGAAAAACACAAAAAATATTCACTAAAGAGGTTCTACACGACATATTTTAACTATTAGGAACTGTAAATACTATGAAATTGTTATAATACATGACAATGATTCATTATTCATTTAATGATACTCAAATATTCTCGTGTGAAATTTAAACAAAAAAATGGACACTACGATGACATTTTTGTTTTGGTATTTTGAGATTTTTTTAAACTAAAATGTGTCACAGATAATTAATACAGCGCTATAATAATACCAACATAAATATAATACATACAAATACCAACATTGAAAGTTGCATAATTTTGCTATAAATAGATTTTCAAATTAATTAGCAATAATCGCCATATTAATCATATCTAAACTAGAAAATTTGTGTGAATGAAAACTAGTGTCAAGTATTTAATGCATGTACAACCTAATCCGTTGGCCCAATTTAAAAATTTAAAAATACAGCATAGATTATAACAATTTCGTGAAGAATCACAGTTTGTAAACGTCACAAAATAAAATAACGATATAGTATGGGATACAACATGCTATTTTCGTACACTCCACGACTTACTTAAACCTCCACGGACGCGCGCCAGTATCCAATTTCGGACAATTGTTGGGAAAAAAAGGAAAAACAGATATTATTCTCGCAAAAACATTTTAAAAAATTTCGGGGACGTGCATGACTTTCACGTTAAAAAAATCATGCCAAAAAAAATTGTATCAATAAAAGAAAAGTTGAAAAAAACAAAAACAAACATGCCCATTTCGAACGTGAGAAAATTAAAAGAACCGAAAGAAAAAAAATAACGATCGATTTCAACTGTTAATTAAACATCGCATCCACTACATAATAGTGAACGCCTAGGCTAAAAATATTGGGTGTTGGTGTATTATTATTTTTTATTATTAATAAATATTTAAAAAGAAACTATTATTTTTTCTAACTACATTAACATATTTAATTGAAGACCTATATTATCTAGCGGTGGAAAAATCTAGATTATATTAGCTATTCAAAATCTAAATAGCCTTAAGATATTTCATATTTTAACCGACTTCAAAAAAGACGAGATTCTTTTTTATTTTTAGCTCCACTTTAACTGAATATAATATTATACGAAGAGCGTACAAGTTAACGTTTAGGATATTTGAAGTCAGTTTAATTTTAGTAATAAAAAAATCATTATCAATATTTATAACCCTAATAGTAACTAACTTAGCGAAACCAAAATATAATCTATAGAAAAATTATTCTATATCACCTTACATTTCTAACTCAAACTGTCTAGTATAGAAAAATCGGACAAAAAAATTTTTTCTTTTAGATCCAAAGAAAAAAAACCAATAAAAAATATCCATTTAAAAAAAATCCACCAACACCCTAACGTAAAACACACAGCAATACCTATATAGCTGGTGACGAGCGTTCTGAACTTGCGATGGTTTCCTTTGATCTCCGGAAGGTCCACTAATAGACAATTTTTTTTACATTTATTGCTAATACTTTATAGTATAGCGTTAACCAATGTGTGTTTGGAACGTAATAAGATAAGTGCGTCTTTATTTTTAACTATTCACCTCTCTTTCTATTTATCTGTTTAATTAAGTACAAAAGATACGTACTATGTTATTTAAATAGGTCATTTTCATTCCTTAGGGAGTGAAAGAGACAAAACATAATACATATGTTATTAAAATGAGACGCAAATATCTTTTTACGTTTCACAAATGTAGTGGACAGAATTTACTCGTAGAAACAATTAATGGTATGATAGTATACAAACATATTATGTTAAAAATGTTTTTCTTTTTGTATTTTTAGTGTAATAAAAAAGAAATGAGATGTATATGTATCATTTTCATTTCGGAGACCTTCAAAATGCATCGTTTTTTATTGAAAAATTATTATTTTTTAATATAATCTATAGCTAAAAGAAAAAATAAAGTGCTCTTAGATTAAAAAAAAGGCTTTTTGGAAGTCCCAAATGAAATTTTAAAGAGTTTCTATTAACTTAGTGTTAGAAATTGTGTGTTTTTAATTTTAAAGCAATTTGACACTTAACTATATAGACTTAAGGGTGGATTTCTTATACTCGGGATATAGCTATACAATGACAGTGTAGCAAAATGAATAATTTCGATGGAAAAGTTTGAAAGAAGAGTAGTTTAGAGTGAAGGTACGAGTATCTCATCAATTTTAAGTCAAAAAAAAAATACATTTCCATACCAATCAATAGTTCAAAAGGACTAAAGTGATACTTTTAAGGAATTAAAAGAAAATAAATTTCATATATTATTGGTATCTCTTTCACACCTATGAAATTGTAAAGAGACATAATACGAAATTTTTCTCAATAGTGTCACAAAATAGACTTTAGAAAAGGACAACAATATACTAATTCACCGTTTCACAGAAAACATTATTATAATTTAAATTTGGGTTTTCTCTTAAGAAAATCAAAAAGTAATACTTACACGAAGGTATCTTCTTAAATACGGTTTTGGCCATAAAGTCTAAGAACCTTTGCGCGTAGAAACTAGGTCTGTGCACTGACACAGTGTCCTGAAATAAAATAGATAGATATGGACAATTTAAAATATATAACTGTGTTGCCTGTAAATATTTTTGTCGTCTGTAGTCTATAGTTTCTAGTAGAAACTACCGCCGCAAAAAATATTTAGGGCTAGAGTAATAATACTTAGGTTAGGACAAATCTAGAAACATAAATCTTTCATTTATCTCTCTAAATTCGTCCTTACTCTGACTACATCGTGCACAATGTACATAGTGAGATGCTTTAGGTCACTCATGCCGCATTAGTACGTAGTTTTGAGTTAGCAGTACAAGGCTTTGTAAAATTTACAACAAACGGCCCATAAAATACGCTTTTTTACCTGTATAAGAGATTATTTTTATAAAATTGATTACAATGTACATAAATTATATTGAAATTATATAGGCGTATATGACGTTACCATGGTAACGTTATTTAAGTTACCATGGTAAGGAATAACATAGCAGGTACACCTACAACCCACATACACATCACAAAGTGAAACCCGTGCGATACATATATGGCCGCATTTAAAAGTACGTTGGCCTCGGCCATTAAGAAGCAAAAGCGGAAGATTCTAAATAAATTGCAAAAAAATTAAAGTTGGCTTTCCCAAAACCGAATTTAAAACATCTAGACTCCAGTAGGAGACATGAGCAATGAACATATTCAGGCCAGGGGTGGCTAAGTCTAACTGTAGATATATAAACAGGCATAAAAAAAGAACTATACACAAATAAACACTCACGCCATCATGTATCATACTCTTCCAAGTGTGCTCCAGTTTCTTCCTGAGACGATACGACTGCAATATATCAATGATACCGAGAAACAAGAGTAAACGTTCCCCACGCGCGTTCCTCGCTGGAATACCACCCGGCCTGTGGGGGATATAATAGTAATAAGTATGTTGGGACATTAACACACAGCATCATCTAGTTCCATGGTAAGCTACGAGGCTTGTGTTATGGATACCAGATAGTTGATACACTACACGTATATAACTTTAAGTACTTCGTATTTAAAGGCATAAATATAAACACCCACGACAGGAGTACAAACATTCGTGCTCATTACACAATGAAGGAGATCTCTGAGTTATTTTGGAAGAACAAGATACCTATTAAGTTGAATTCTCGCGAGAAGCTTAATATTGTTTAAAAAGACCCAACTTTTTTCTCTACAAAATTTAAGTTCGCTAACTGTTAGTACTAAAGTTAAGACAATCATCCATTTGACATGTTTAAACAAGTATAAAAAAAACTTGTCTGCTGCCATTCGCTATTATTATTATTAATAAAGTTTGTTGTTCAAAATGTTTGGAAATTACTTAATCACGCGTAAAACATTCAACGGATTTAGATAGAACTTGACACACATACCACGTGTTAGACTAACAAATAGGATATCTCTAATCCTATAATACGTTTCTCCGTTATATTCTTTTTTAGGTTTCTTCATTTTGACATACATTCGAATTAAAAAGACGATTTATCGACTTAAAAACACGCTTAAATAAACCAACAACCTTCACATTAAGATCTCCACCTTATTTAAAAAAAATATCTCAAACTTTAAACTTACAACATCAAATCTCTATATAATATCACTAGGTGCCTAACAATCTATACTAATTTTATAAAGAGGTAAAGTTTGTGAGTTTGTGACGTTGTAGGGGGTAATCTCTGGATCTACTGAACCGATTGAGATGAAATTTGGTATGAAGATAGTTTAAGACCCTGGGAAGGACATAGGCTTTTTATCCCTGAAATCATCCCTTAAAGGGGTGAAAATGGTGACGAAAGTTTTTATAGGAAATTAACCTAGGGACGAACCCAAGCGAAGCGAGGGTTAGTCGCTAGTGATTAATACAGTAACTCACAGGTCACGCTTTGCTACTTCAATTAAAATTATTAAGATCGGACGGATCAGTACTTTCAGAGATTCTCCTGCATACAAACTCTTTATAAAATTCAAAAGAAAAGAAAAAAAAAACAACTTTTCAATATACTCACGGAACATCTTCCTCTTCATCTATCGGCTCACTTTCAGCCTGTATGCTCTCCATCGCAGTAGAATGCGCCACCAACCGTTGACGGTTGATAGACCTGGTGGGGGAAGAGGAACAAAAAAAATGACCAAACAAAAAAATTGTGTGGAGGAAACAAATAGAAAATTTGAGAAATGATGAGAAAACAATAAAAAAATATTGTATCAACAAGGAAAAACAGTAAAAGACATTTAATCTCATAGAAATACATACATGACAAAAGAAACATAAGACTGAATGATTTTGAGTTAAAAATAAATAAAATACACTTTGTAACCAAGAAAAAAAAAATTTTTTAATTTTTTTTTTTTAATTAAACCAAACTTATATTTAATCTACTAACATGCATTTAACTATTTCATTTAAAAAAAAGTGAAGATGATTGAATAACACAAGAAAAATGAAATATTAGAAAATTTAGTTAAAAATTGTTATTATTAGTTAAGTGTTTGATTGTACAAGGTCATTACATACATACATAACGTAATAAGAGGGTAGGTATAAATAGAGGTTTTCTATGCTAAGATCAATATATATTTTTTTCTATCAATTTACATTAAGGTATTATATAAGTCCTAAAATCTATTTATATCAAACATAGATGTATATCATTTGATAATTTACTGGTGAATTAGGTTTTAGTACCATGCACTTTATAGATTCGTTAGAAAGAGACAGACACATAGACGTGTTAGTGCGTTTGAAGGAGACGGGAGTTAATGCTAGGACAAAACAGAGATTTATTTAAAAAAAACGTAATTACTGTGTCCGTTTGACTTGATTCTTAAAATCCTCTTTGCTTTGCTCTAATCTGGAAAAGTTTGGAAAATACCATCACCGTTTGTGGAAAAATCGACTTAATAATGCGTAATTTACAAAGCACTTACAAGAAAAAAAACAAAAACCTTTAAATTTAAATCGTCTTGAAAAATCGATTTTAACTAACATAATATCAAAATAAAATCTGTCTTGAAAAGTAACTTGACAACCCTATACATATTTGTATTAACATACAAAAATATCCTTTCTAATGACGATCAAACTAACACTCATATATCATAATATAAAGATAACATAAGGATATACCTATAAGTTATAAAAAAACCTATGACTTTTTCCAACAAGTTTAACCAGTAATTTGGGTGTTCGTGTGTATGTATGTACTTGTGACACTACACAATGTAGATCTGAACATATATACATGTAATGTATGTATACACATACGTATGTTGTGACGATGTGAATGATTACCAACTTACCTGAGCCTTCGTTGACTATGACAAAAAAAGAGCCTAAAATGACGTCACAACGTACACACACATACAAAATTTATATTCAGTATATTTTTTAGAAGAAAAATATATGAAGCAGTTTGCATTAAAAACTTTAGAAGTCTTTAAACTACAAGCTGTTTGACTAAAAAAATCTCATCAAAATCCGTTTAGCTCTATACCGTGATGCAAGCATCAAAAGAGACACAATATATGTATACAGATAACATTTCTTAGAACTATTAATTAATAATAAAATGTTGTTATATGAAAATTGCTTTCTATTTTATTTATACATATAATAACATAAAAAAATCATAAGACCCATTGTACATTTTAGAACTTTATCCTATTTGAACGATATCCAAGATATATTTGCTAAATAATTATTTTCGAACAATTTCGTAATTTCGACCCTATTACTAAATTATATATATACCCTATTACATACATACATACATACATATTTAATTTCACGATATACCCCCTAGGATTGACAAACAGAACAAAACGCGAAGGGCTACGATCTCTTCATATCTCATTCGAAGTCCCCATTCTTTTCTTACACTATAGGGTTTCATAGACATTAATATGACCTTCTTAGAGTACAAATAAATTTCACCTTCAAAAGTCCTCTGAATAATATAAATAAATAAATGTTGGGACATTAACACACAACACCATCTATTTCCGTGCTCATCACACAAATGAATACCCCCAGCGGGACTCGAACCCGCGACCGCTGGCACAGCAAGTAAGTTCACTACAAACTGAGTCAAAGGTGTCGTCGAATGCGCGTTAAACTTTACATTCTATTATATCTTTTTCACCATCCATCATTCATTCTAGCAAAATTTTCTACACTCTCAATACCAACCATCTTATAACATGTCTAAAATTAAAGACACAACTCATAATTTCAAAACATTCTCCACTATCATCATCGATCAAAAAAGTACTAGACGCACAATCCAATGCAAAAGTTCTCTTAAAACTGTCACTTATATGTGTTTAGGTAATTATTCTAGTTGAAATAAATATACAATAATGTAAATTGAACCTTAAATGCAATACTTTCACAAAAAAATATTAAAAGCGCGGTCAAACGTTTAAATGAGCGCTCATTAGGTGAGGACATTTTTTGTCGCTGATTGCGTATCTAGTACTTTTCTGATCGTTCACTAACATTCAGAGAACAACCATCCCAAAAAAAAAACTATAAAAATACTTTCTTTCACACATACCTTGTTCTATTGAGTCCACTTTTCTTGGGCTCTCCATCAGCGTCGTCATCGCTTTGACCGGAATCTGTGCGTTTTCGGGCTTCGGTCTTCTCCCTTTGGGCCTCATCCAAATTGTGAATACCCACCAGAAGAGAATAGTCCATGATCTGTAACAATAATATGGTTTTAATACTCAACTGCTCCAATGGTTTTGTCACTGGCATATACGGCTGCAGATCCGGATGATGTGGGTTCGAAACTTGGTCAGGACCAAGTTTAGCTAATGTATATTCTTCATAACAACCCAGAGTTGGGAAGTTGACGCCTAGACACTCGTACCTCGGAGACCACGTAAAGCAATCGGTTTAGCGTCTCACCTGTCTCCGGTCGTGTCATCTTAACATTTCACCGGAGTTTGAGAGTTTATAGGAATACAGAGTACACGTTGTGTTTGCACTAAAATATATCCTGCCCAGTTGGCTATTGTCAGTGAGATTGGCCGACGTCGCCGGAACCATTTAAGAGGACTTTATTATTATAAATATATAAACCTAAGTTGATTCCCCATACAAACTTTCATCCCCATTTTCACCCCTTAAGGAATGATTCCCAGGATACAAACTATCTTCTTACCAAATTTCATCTAAATCGGTCCAGTCAATTCGGAGAATATTCGGTCGAAACAAACAAACAAAAATCTTTCCTCTTTGTAATATATTAGTATAGAAATCAAAAATATCCTGAAGTATAGCCCAAATTAAGACTGTTTAATACCTTCGTATGAGATGGGATATTTGCACTGGTACAGTATAATGTGATCTGTGCCTAACAAATTCTCCTACATACCTTAAAACTCTCCAGCACTCTGCAATCTCTTTGCATGGTCTTTATTAGAGCGTTATACGTGTCCGCCTCTAGGAATATGCCTTCGGTGTGTTGCTCCATGAAATCCAAATCTTTGTATGTCGGTGAGCTCTTTTGTCTTTCGGATTTGCTTGCCTGTTGAAAATACAATATTTATTTAGTGTGTAATATAAAAATGATTAGTCTTAGATAATATGCGAGAAATTGAAAATGGCAGACTTCATAAATGTTTAGAAGATCTAGTTAGATTCTCCTTATCTCTTATACAGTCGAGTCCGTTGAAGGGACGGCAATCTCTTTCTCGCTTATGGAGGTTTCTCACTAACCCGAGTTTCTATTATAGAGGTACAGGAATAGTCTTTCTCATTTATAGAGGTTTAAAAATATACAACAAATGTGTAGTGCTAAACATGTATGTATTGTGTCCAAGAGCGGCGGCAAAATTGTTTCCATGGGAAATTATTCGGATAGGTTTGAACATTATGTTTCAAATGAAAATTCGATATAACTAGCCATCTTCTCTCATCGAAATTTCTATTAAACGTTAAGTTTAGTTCTGTTTTATCTATCAGTCTTATAGAATAGAAAGGGATAAAAGATATACCATACCTTTCTTTTATACGTGGATCCCTTCAGATCGTACTTTTGGTGCAATTTGACGGACGACGGAAGTAGATTGTTCATGGCGACGAGCCGCACATTTTTACTGTTACATTGATAGCAATATAGTCCGAAGAACTTGGGTAGTAACGTGCGGGGGTTCTGAAATTCCGTTTATATATTAAATAATGTCATTTTAACCCCGCTGAGTTGCTTTTGCCAAACCTAAGAAGAACTAGGTCTGAGCCTGTTTATTACCTTATTACCGATTTGGTAATAGACTAGATAGGGTGGTGGCAGACTAGATTGTTATAATCAATAAAAAATGTTAAATTAAATGGCGAATCAAATATTTTGGATTTTTATTTTGTATTTAAACTAGTCTTTGTCCGCGGCTATGCTCGCTACATATTTTTATTTGTTAGAAATATCTTCTCTGGAAGAGATCGCCGTTTAAGCGATAAGGCCGCCTATTGTACATCGTCCTATTTCGGTTTTTCTTGTACTAATTTTGCTTACATTTTAGGGTGTACAATAAAGAGTCTTAATTATTATTATAGAGTATCTATATTTTAATCTAGGATGTAATGATCTTCCGGCCGAATTTTATTCGTATAAATCCGTTAAGCCGTTATATTGTAAAGAAGTAGCAAGCACAGACAGTTTCACATTTTTATGTATTTTAATGTATATGAAATTAATAAATTATTATTTAAGATATTTAATAAAAAAAATGCAGGCATCTCCTCGTATTTACTTAAAGAACCAGCGGACATTATCATTATGGCGGAGGTAGTGAGTTCGAGTTCCCTCTCAACACTAATATCGGTCATACAATAATTTATCAGATCTATTGAGATTATTGGTCCATGTCTTGTTTCTTGGTCCCGCTACATCACACCTTAGGAGATATTAAGTTGTAGTTACATCGCTAATTGATATTAGCATTTGCCCGCGGCTTTGCTCGTGTTATAGATACATCAATGGAATACTCTTCATATTAATCCATAACATAATCTATTTTTTATTTGAATTCTACTCAAATCCGACACAGCACTAAGAAATAACAAACACACGCACTCACACATAAATCTTAGTACATGTAAACTTACTTGATCAAGGTTCAAGTAGTACCCTGGTAGTAGTTTCTGAAGAAACTCTCCCTCCTTGTGTTGTACTGTTTTTATTATGAACTCATCATCGTTCGTGAGATAAAAGATGCTGCCGGACGCGCCGGGATTGCTTAGCTCGCGTAATGGAGCGCTACACATTGACATCTGAGGAGAAATAAGAAAGAATTAACATAACATCTATGTATGTTTGTATGTAAGTATATTATATGCATGTTTGTATATATGTATATATATAATACTAGCAACTCATCCTCGCTTCACTCGGGTTCATCCCTAGGTACGTTATATTGATTACGTTATATTCATTTATATAGGTATGATGAGTTATTGTGTGTTGCATTATAACGTATTTGCCGTAAGAATGAGATAATCTTTCGCAGTTAAAAGTAGCCTATGTCACTCTCCAACCCTGCAAATACCTTCACACGAAAAATCGCGACCATCCGTCGATCTGTTTCGACGTGAAAGAAGGACAAACGAACAAACACACAAAATCCTATAAATGTACCTTTTCAACATATCTATACATATAATACAATTGTAATTATATACATTACACTATATATATTATAACTATATAGAAATAGACATTATTATCAATACAGAGGCCAAATCTATAGTTTTCAGAATTTTTGTTTGTCTGTCCGTCTGTCTGTCTGTAACTGCATCACGGAAAAACTACTGGATGGATTTTGATGAAATTTGGTATGGTGATAGCTGATTATCCGGGTCAACATATAGGATACTTTTTACTGAGGGAAAACATGTCATTTCTGAGAAATCTATAGTGAACGTTAAAACGTACATAAGTCTAGTCAAAGTATAGTCGCTAGTTTAACTATAATATGAGGGCATTGTCATCTTGAACTTCATTAAAATTTTAAATTTTTCTTAGAAAATCAACAATAGAAGCTATAGCCTCGTTCACATATAACGTTCGTGTGAACTAACGGAAAAAAATCGTCATTTAATTAATATTAAACTTAAATGTACAAAAAAATATTCAACATGTAATTACGAAAAAGTATTAACGTTATTTGAATAAAATTGAAAAAGTTTTAAAACGAATGGATGAATTATTTTAAATTATCTTATTACATTTTTCTACATGTAAGAGAACTAGATAATGATGTGTAAAGTTTTACTGTATATAATATATCAACTCCACTCTCGAGGTATATTCTTTTAGTCACTCCACGACCGCGGACATGCCGGCGTTACAGTTAACAATAGATTTCTTAGAAATTTAATTAATTTCTTAAAAATTTACCTGGAGGTGTTAAATTAAGAAGCTATAAAAGTAATATTTAGTACCTAAGAACACATTGACCTAATCGCTACAGGACACACCATTTACATGACCTGTTATGTACATATTACATACTCGTATGTGTTCTATATACGGATAGGTACCGGCACACAAATATGCAAATTTTTTTAATCATACTGATAGCTTTTTCCCCAAAATACTTATGAATTATAACCTTCCTAGATAAACCTTCTTTCTATTGACGTAAATCTTATGAAAATCCGTTCAGTAGTTCCTGAGATTATTCGGAACAAACATAAGTTCAACGCGGCGGGGAACTTCATTAATATATAACATGCTGTGATCGTGACCCCCGTTCCTAAAAAGCAATATAATATCCCACGTAATACTGATTCAGTTATTGTATGTATTGTATTTTGTATTCAGCCATTTTATACGTCCCACCGTTGGTCCATAGTCCACCACGCTGGCCAAGTGCGGTTTGACAGACTTCATTTGTCTTTAGAAAACTTGCTAGTCTCTTTCTGACATGCAGGTTTCCTCAACAAGTTTTCCTTTACCGTAAGGCAAGTGGTAAACATCAGAGGTGCGAAGCTCGGGATTTGAACTCGCATCACTCGGTTTCAGAAACGAACGCCGCACCACTGGGCTACCACTGCATCATCCATATATGCACTATCGCTATGCAAAATACAACCTCCACCCGTTACGTACATTGGCACGTGAAAGCATAATAAACTAATATGTACAATTAATTTCCTTTATACTATTACTACGGATAATAATATTTTTCTACGCTTATATGTTACGTAAAATGAAACACGATAACGATTAGTGCATGTAAATAATCACATTATCATCAAATGTATTTATGGCTTCAAACAGTTTAAATAGAAAACTGGTTAAAAACAAGCTTTATTTTCATTGCCATGACGTTTACTGATAAGATATTTGTACGGCTCGAAGGACCAAAAAGTTGTAAAAGTTACTTATATCTACTTATAGTAGCTTAGTGTCTTTTGGTTAACATATCATTCATAATTTCAGATTAAAACATAAGTAAAGACAGAATTCAGATTAATGAAGAATAGTAAGAAATTACAATTTTCAGATCCAAATAGGAGTCATCTTTTTATGTAATTTTAATACAACTTCATTCTACAATTCGTTTCATTTTGCACTTTTAGAAGAACGAATTATATAAGTTTCCTGTGATTTATTCTATGATATTTCATTATGTTTGTTCATAAATTTACATCAAAATAATGTTCTCAGTGGCTCAAGTACAAATATTGGCACTTTCTATAATATGGCAAATGACATGTAGGTTTTATGTGTCTCTTGGTTGTCTAGACTCTAGTGCATGTTTAATCAAATTGAAATAAAATAAATAAATTAAAGAAATGAAGATAAAAAATAGAAAATTAAGATATGAAAATTAGACAAAATTCAACCACAGATGATGTTTTTAGTATAATTTTATTATTAGAATATTCGGCGAAGTAATTAAAAACTACATTTGCATATAGGTATGCTGATTTCTAATTTCAAAAGATTAAATAGTGATACGACACTAACGTTCTAGTGAAAGTAAATAAAAATAAAGAGATATGATGGTCATGGATGGTATAATACTAGCGACTCGCTCTCGCTTCGCTCGGGTTCGTCCATAGGTACGCTTTAACCGTTAGTGTGGAATAGATAGATTACGTATTTACGACGTGTCGTGGGTTGTTTTATTATGTATTTTTCCGTGTAATTGAGATAATCTCCTGCGGTAAAAATCCGTCTCTCTATTTCGACGAGAAAGAAGGACAGACCAACAAACAAACACATTTTCACATTTATAATATTAGTATGAATTAAACTTTTTACCGACTTCTACAAAGAAAGAGAGACCTCCTTTATTGATTGGTAAACATCTTGATACTCAATTATTCTTCTGTATTTTTGTTACGCGATATCTTTGGCAATTATGATTTTTTTTTAATGAATAGCTTATATCTCAATGATACCAACCCTTGAGTGTGCTCTTTTGAATATTATACGGAATCAAATAATATAAAAAAGATACGACTTGAACAAAGAAGACTCCTCCTTTATAAAGTCGGTAAAAATCTCGGTTATGTTACGCGATACCTACACTAACTATGAATTCATTTTGATTATAGCGAACTATTTTTAACGAATAGGTTATAGCTCAAGAGATATATACTTCTTTAAATATTATATGGGACCATATAATAAAAAAAAAATCCACTTCTAAGGGAGAAATAGCAAGTCCTTAAATGGTTTTGAAATCACTGTATCTATCTTTTTTTTTAATTTTTCACCATATGCAGTAAGAATATATGTATATAAACAATGCACTTACAAGGAAATCATCCGGCTGTATGCCAAACAGATCTCTGAAGTATCTGAAGGCTATCGGCGCGTACGTTTTGAACTTGAACTCGGAGTAGTGATGCGCGGGCGTGTGATTCGATCCTTCCGATGGGAAGTTTGTTGTTTCTACTGTCATGAAGTCCTGCATGAGAAGATCCCTTTCAGGTTTGGAGGCGAGACCACCGATCGCGTGCTGTATACCTGAAAAAATAATCATTGATTAAACATTTTTACTAGCGGCTCACCTTCGCTTGGTAGCGACCCTAGATATGCCTAAGTTTTTTTTACTAACAGTAGCCTATTGTGTTTATATATACGTTTCTATTTAAAAGTTGTGAATCATGAATGAATGAATGAATGTGAATAAGAAAGATATTGTATTGGTGGATGGTCTGTACTACGTTTTCATCGACAAAATGTTAAGATCTAGTCGATACATTAAGTAACTATTTATTTATTTGCAAAAATGTACTCAAAATATTTTTAAAATAATAGTATATTTATTAAAAAGTAATAACGACGACTTCCTGATCGATTTTTTTCGACGGTAACGAATCCCGTGGAGACATGTGTGCATCAGATATTATAATGTACACGTGTATGCGCAAACACACATGCACTTTTAATTTCTTTCCCTTTCATAACGTAATCGGACGATACTTGGACACGACCGGCATGAGATCAGGCGCAGGGCCAACAATTTTACATTGTCTTCGGGGCTGGAGGGCGCTACCGCCAATTTCACATTTAGATTTATATTGAGTGTTTTAAATAGCAAAAAAAACGAGAAAACTTCCTTTGTTTCGGCCCAGGATTCGAATCCACGACCTACGGATCTGCCGACGTACATACTAGCCACTAAACCAACGAGGTGGTTAACAAAGAAAAAACATAGCAACAATAAATTGTGCTTAGGCTATCGGAGGTCACAGGCTAAATCCGCTGGGGACATATTTCTATTGTCCATTCTGTATTAGTTAGAGCAGATTGGTTCTATTTTGAAGACCAAAGACCAAGGTTGGTGACTGCTGCGTTACATCTGTCTTTACTAATATTATAAAGAGGCAGAATTTGTTTGTTTGAACGCGCTTATCTCAGGAACTACTAATCTGATTTGAAAAATTATTATTGCATTAGGTAGGCCATTTATTGAGGAAGGTTATATGTATATGTGTGATAATTGGTTTTTGGCTAGTGTATATATAAAAAAAAACGAAATACCGCTTACACACTCACTGATTTATTATAATACTAGCATTGCCCGCGGCTCCGCCCGCGTTCAGATGACCAAAAACTAAATTCTTAGGTGTTACATATTAGTATACTCTTACATTGCAGTTTTTGTATTTTTCCTCAGAAATAAGATATTTTCCCGCGGTAAAAAGTATCCTAGGATCGCGCGCTACATCGCCCGGTTTATATAGCTTGAGCAGGCGGTCGAGCGATGCGGGGCAGAGGGGATGGACTCGCCGTAGGCATCTCAATGCTCGCCAAGCATTAAAAATGTTTCGCTACTAATTACTTCTAACAACGATATCTCAAAAACTATTCATCTGATTGATTTAGTGTAAAGAGCAATTTTAATCTGCATTAAATGACTAAGCTAACTAAAATATTCATTTGGATAAGGATTAATACCGAACTAAAGAAAATAACTTTGAAAATAACGTAATGTTTTTAATTAAAAATGTTAACATAAAAGTGGTTATTGTAAGTCAACCGTAAGAGATAGAGATATGCTATCGCGGACTTTTTTGTAGCATTTTTATAGATTTTGAATTCTCTAGTACATTACTTAACTGTATCTTTGCTAGTTTACGCGGCGTTCGCGTGGAAAGTTCCCATTTGGCGAGATTTTTTGCGACCTCTTCAACATTTGTCGCCGTATTTCAGCTAATTTACATAAAAGCATAATAAATTATATACCTAAACCTTCCTCAAGAATTACTCTTTCTATTGTTGAAAACCGTATAAAAATCCGTTCAGTAGTTTTCGAGTTTATCGCGTACAGACAGACAGGAGGACAGACAGGAGGACAGAAAGACGCGGCCGGGGGACTTATTTTTATAATAAGTATAGATATAATATATAAATTTGGCAGGAAGATTCCTCATAGGTGGTTAAGAATTTACTATGAAAGGATTTTTGACGAAAATAACTCCCATAGGGATAAAAAAGAGGTTGGAAGGAAAAAGATTTTTTTTTATTTTAGCTCTTCAAAACTATATTTATTATCGTACACGCGAGCGGAACCGTGTGCGATAGCTAGTACATACATATAAAATAGAATGTCTCCAATAACAAACCCATATCTATAAATATAGTTCTATTTTTACTCACAAATCTAAAAGGTCACACGGTATCTTATCGATTTTGAAACGGATATTGTTTAGTTTCATTTAGAGGTGCAAGTTTCTTCAATACTCAGTATACAAAAAGAACTTCATAATATGTAAACAACAATTTTTCAATTATATCTTTAATATCATATTAATCGGACCATTTTTACGATTTACCCTCACTCCGCTCCTAACACTTTTTTTTAAAGTTTGCGAACACATTACTTATACCACCTACATATGTTCTTTTAAACAGCAGCTGGTTATATGGAATTGACCGGCCATAAAAGCCAGTACTACGCAGTAAAACCCAACATAACCTCCCCTGTCTTAATGGGGTGTCGCATGGTCACTTACGCGTGCAACCACGATGACTGGTCTGCCGAGATAAATCACAAGAACCAAGTGGTTGTCCCACGGTCCACTCTGTTATCAGACAAGTACCAGGAGCAACCCGCATGGTACACCGCCCCACAGAGATGGCCCGCCTCAGGTGATAAGATTTCACCTCCTCATAGTTGTATTTGCAACTATATGCGATAAAGGTGAATCTAGCCTAGAGTTTTGCTTACGTAGACTTAGTAAAAATCTATTTTTTTATACAATTTTAATTATATAATCTAACTAGCGTTCAGATGACCAAAAACCAAAATCTTAGGTTTTACATATTAATATGAGTATACTTTCTGAGAAAAATACAAAAACTGCCATGTAAGAGTTTACATTGCAGTTTTTGTATTTTTTCTCAGAAATGAGATAATTTCCCGCGGTAAAAAGTATCCTATATGTTGACCCGGATATCCAGCTATCATCATATCAAATTTAATCAAAATCCCACCAGTAGTTTTTCTGTGATGCGGTAACAGACAAACAGGCAAAAATTCTAAAAATATAGATTCGACCTCTGTATCGATAATAATGTTTAATTAAATAAAACTTTTCAAAAAATATTTAAGGTACAGATTCGGCTTATCTACAATTTTATTATATGTATAGATATTTAAATCGATTTTAACTTACTCTCAATCGTTGAATCGTTTTGCAATTTTATAATGTAGCTATGATAAATTCGGATGACAATACAATAAATTGGTACAATCGACTGATCTGATATGGAGCCAGGAGATAGATAGTGAAAGTTTAAATGGCTTCCAGTAAAACCTTCAAGTTTGGTTACATATGGACATTCGTTTTGACGATATCCATACATAAGAATAAGTTGAAAACAAGTTTTTTTAATATATTTTTTAAACTATCACCTCCAGGTAAATTTATAAGAAATTAATGAAAGTTCTAAGAAATCTATTGTTAACTGACACGCTGGCGTGTCCGCGGTCGTGGAGCGATTAAACTTATAAAACTTAGCGAAAATGACCGAATATATAATAGAGAATGATACAATAGAGAGCCGAGCTCCTATTTGTGTGGTTTCCCTACCAAATTGAAATTCAGGCTAAATTTAGTAGTACTGTAACATCGTCATACATTGTATCTATTTATAACTGGCAAAGTGCAGTTATTAGTTTATTATCGCTACCCACAACTATACATTAGCATTTATGGACCTCTCCTCCTACATTTCCTTTTGTAAATGAGACTGCATAGTGTATACCATCTTTACAGGTAAAATCAACTAGTCGATAATTAAGTAATAGGTTTCGTATTTGTATCGAAATCTGAATCTAAATACAAGCGTCGTTATTAAAAAATCCAAAAAAGGAGGTGAACTCCAAAAAGGAGACACAAATCAGCTCTATTATTATAGTTTGTGTGCGTTCTTATAAAAAATATATATTTATGACTTTAAATATTTATGACACTAAATTAATTATTATTCCTCCAATTTGAATAACTTATATGTCGATGTACTTTCCTGTATAAAAAGCAATAATTGATTTGGTAGCGACAAGTACAGTAGCGCAAATATTTTATTTGCGAAGCTTCTTTCCGGTACCTAGAGGAAGTCAGCCAAGGCCACATGCTATCTCGCACAATGTCAAGTGCCAACGCACTTATAAATAATTTATTTTTAAATCATCAGATTAAATAAACTTATAGGTAAAATACGAATTATTATTGTGAATACGAAAGTTTTGTATGTGCGTGCCTGTGCATGTTTGTTACTCCATTACGCTATAACCACAGGCTATTAGTAATAAAATTACTCAAAAGGTGCTGCTACATATATGTATATATATATCAATCTATTAATCTATATAAATAAAAGAAAAATTTCGTATGGTTGTCCTTCATACGCCGTGATGAAACTCTGGTGGGTCATCCTGTACACACGACTAAGAAGGTTCCTGGAGCAAAAAAAAAAAGAATTCTGCTTTGCATTCAAGCTTAGGGACCCAGCCGGGCGAAAAGAAGGTATGTCGCAAGTTTTTTTCCGTATTGATGAAGTTTCTATGGTCATTATCAAGCTGAATCATAAAAATTGCATCTAATAGTATATGGTCCTTGCAGCATTATTACATTACCTTTGTTATATAATGTATGAAACTTTTATGCGAAAACTCTTTCTAAACCTCTGAAAAAGCTAGACTTTAGTCTTTTAGTAAATTAGTTTTAGATTTATATTAAGAAAGACATACTAGCAGACGATGACGCATTAAATCATATGTATATTAAAAATATTTCGTTATAAATGAGGATTTAAGAACCAATCTTCGTATCAAACAACGTTTTACATTTACTGAATACGTCAAGTATAGACAAAGGTACGTACATTTAACCTTGACCTTGACATAAAAAGTTATAAATTTAACTTGTGAATCTGTGTCTGCCTGTGGCATCGTAGCGCCCAAACGGGTAAACAAATTTTAATCTAGTTTTTTTTGTTAGTTTAGGCTCATTGAA